ATATTTCATCTAGTACGTTATTATATATGTTATATATTACATATTATATATTATTATATGCTCTACATTATATATTTTGTGTGCATATCAGTGAGCAAGAGCAAGCATAGTTTAATGGGAGCAGGTGTTAGGGTAAAGAAAAGGAGACGAGGGACAATTAACGGTGTTGTTGTAGATGCTTCTGCGGATGATGGTGCTTCATATATTTGCCATTTCAATCCATTTTGATGCAAAATGGCATTTCTACTTTATGTATGTGACGATGTGGATGTGTATGTTAGTGTAGTGTGGTGTATGTGATATGTGCAGTCGACCGACCACTGGGAGCAATGGTTTTTGAGGGTTGTCATTGGTGGTGCTGCCAGATTAGATTGTTGGCTTAGTTTAGTTTAATAAGTTAGCTCAGAAAAATTGAAGAGAATGAAAGGAGGAGACAAATGAGGAGGGAAAGAGGATGGTGAAGAGAGGAAGAGAGAGAAAATAGTTGTAAGAAATATCATCAAATGATGGTGATGATTGTGTCGGTGGTGGTGATGTTAGGGAGGGAAAGGAAGGGTTGATCGGACGCCAAACGAGTAGGACAACCATCACCGCTTTAATCGTCATCGCCATCGTTTTACAACCGTCATCGGTGTCGTTGTGGATTTCAGGCAGCAACAGAAGAAGGAAACAGTTGCAGTGGCAGCAGAAGGAAGGAGGAGGAAGAATAACCGGAGAATAAGTATGTTAGTGCCACAATCGTCACATACATAATGCCCATCATCAAAATGGTGAGGTGCTTTGCTGCTGTTACAGCTGCTACTTATTATTCGTTTCTGTTTCTGTGATATTCTCTCTTCATTTCTTTCAAAGTAATTTAACTTTTATTTTGAGGTTAAATAATATTTTGTTACTGATGACGAAAAGAGGAGGAATATGTCGCATGGTGAAGAGTACCTTATGGGTACGATGGTTATGTTATCATTGCTACGATTACCACTATCATTGTTGTTACCATTAGAAGAAATGGTCAATCATAAGGTGGTTAACAGTATGTACTAATAGTGGTGGTGCAGTATCTAATAGTTTCATTTCAAATTTTGTTAGGAAATCAGATTGGAATCTTTTTTCTTTCGGACTGGTAAAACATTTGACAAAAGGAGTGACTGATTCCAGAATCAGCATATGGTGGTGACGGAACGTATGCAGCACCTGACAAGAATCATCACTTTTCGTGCTGATCATTGTCATCGTTGCGGCCGTCAACGTCGTTATCATTGATTTCGTTGACAAGACGGCATCGAAAGCAGCCCTAAATGAACCAACAAAATAACACCACCGACAGACCGAATCATACCTCTGTCATCTTCCTTTGCCTTATACCTTCGTATTCTTACTCATCCTCCTTATTCATCAAACTTTCAATTGGCATTGATTTCTTCCCTCCTTTACATACATTCTCATATCATTCAATTCATGATGACATGTGAAGTGGTATAGTAGTGTATTCCGCAGGTATCATGCATGAAACGATAGTTAATAACATTTACATGAATTTTCAGTGCTTCTAATACTCTTTTTTTTCAGATGCTTTTTTTTTCCTTCAATGATAATATAGCATCGGAGACGAATGCTGATTAGATTTTCCCTGATAAAATTGTTTTGCAGATGCTTCTGCGTTTTATTCTGCTTATCTTCTCTATGACCATTCTGAACTTTCTAGAAAATCTTTCTTAATTCCCTTTTAAAATATTGTAAATCCCATAGAAAAATTCAATTTCTGACTTTTAGTTTTGAAAAGCGTTAATAAGGAGTAAAATTAGGTATGGAGGAATTATTGAATGAGTTACTAATTAGAAGCTGAACTATGATGTAAAATCATTAGCAATGTGTTTCATTCAATTATTAAGTTATGATGTTTTGATGGAAGAATGAATTCATATTTCTGCACATTCACGGTTAGATGTTGTTGTTGCACTTCAATTTCAGATTTAACTTCTGCATGATGTGAAAGAATTTTGAAAATGAGAAACAAAAGGGAAGAAAGAGGGATTGATTTCTTACTCAATCCTCTTTTCATTGATGAAGTGTGTCTCTGTTGTGTTATTGCACATTTTCTTGTTTTACTGCTGTTCTTCATCCCTTTGTCATTGAGAAGAAAAGTAGAAGAAAGAAAGAGAGAGAGAGAGAGAGGGAGAGAGACGGAGGAGAGTTTTCCCTTTGTAACTGGTAGTGGCAGTTAAATTTTTTCGAAACTGATTCGAAATATCTTTTTCATCTTTCCGTTCTCTTTGCGCAGATAGGTGAGATTTATTGCGCAAATGAATCAAAGTTTAAAAATGTTTCTAGCGTTGCCTTTGAAAATTGTATATGAATTCATTGATCTGGTTTTTCACATTCTTTTTAGTAATATAGGATGGTACTGTTACGATTATTGTTCTTATTGGCTGGATTTACCCTCGATTATCAGGGGTCGTTATCAGTTGTAGCCATATAATTATTGTTATTGTTGTTGGCCAGATTGATTACAATTATTATGATCATTATTATTAGTCTAAGATTTTACAACATACTTTAGATTGGTAGGAAGCGTTATTTTCATGCGTTTTTAAACATTATCCATAAATTACTTTTAAACTGTCATTTAACTAAAATTGTAGCTTTCCGTATTAACTTCCATATCCTCATTATTCACCACAATGTTAAGATAGCATCATTACTGGTGGTAATATACCATTCCTCTTTATCCTTAAATTATGTCGAATGGTTTAGTTGGGGACGAATTTTTTGCCTTTAAAAATGCAGTTTTTTCTCGGACTATTAGCATTAATTTTAAAAAGACTTTTGGATTAATGGTTCTATGAGACATTTCAGAGTAATGAATGATCTTGATGCTAAAAGTCTTTTTTAAATAACAATACTTGTACGAAAATACATTCCAGAAAAACAGTCCGTTCACTAAGGAAAATTAATAATTTGGCTAATGTTTTAAATTGATTGAAAATAAATAATGCATTTTTAAAATAGTTTAGAAAGCGAACAGGAAAGCAATGAATAGCTTTTGTAGGGATTGTTTTTGGCATGTGAATCGCTGGGAAAGATTCTTCCCTTTACGCGTGAAAAATTTTCCTGTTGTTTCAAAAGTACATTTCTTTTTTTTCAAACTTCAAAACAGTCATCGACGAGCAATTCGTTATTTCATTTTAACATTTCACTCTCCCCCGCATAACACGCTTTTATTTCCAATCATACGGAATGGAAGTTAGCTTATCACTTTGGGATGACTTCAAATGTTAATTCAATTTATAGCCTATAAAAATAAGCTAACTAATGCATCGGTGATTCATACAGTGTTTAGCAGTTGCTAAAAATAAGATGAAGTTAATTTTCAGTAATTTATGCAAATAAAGTAGTTAATACATAAGTTGAAAAATATTCTTATAGTTTATCTCGTTTTAGCAGTTTTTTTTTTATGAGAAGGAAGAATATGTTTGTATTTAGATTGTTGACGTTTCCTTTTATTTTGAAATGCTTATTCAGCTGCTTTTGGAAAAAGGGTAGGTAGCTATGTTTGAATATCAGTGAAACCGAAAGCATTTGATGGAAGTTAAGTTTGCGACGCACTGCGTTTTCTTTTTTCTTTTTTTTTTTTAAATTCATGTAAAACTAAGCAGAACATTTTGTTCGTAATTTGCAATCATTCAGTAACTTTCAGCAGGCTAGAAAATTAGGTCTATTATGCCATAATTGGATAGGGTTTTATCTAAAGTGAGAAAAAATCCGAGATTAAGATGTAGATAGGTCGAGAATAGAGGACGGGAGGTAAATATCGAGGATTTGTCAAAATCTGAATGACATCGGACCGCGGAACTTATACAGATGTTTTTAAAATGTGATGTTCTAATGGTTTTGGAAGAAGGAGAAAGAGGTAGTTGTGTGGCTTTATATACTGAAATTGTAATTTGATTCATCGAATATGAATATAGTTTTAGTTAATGGTGAAGATAATTTGATATAGCGAATTTTAACATTAATGATTATTTTAGAAATAATGTCGCTTTTTTACTTATGCCACAGAAATTCATTGGTCATCGACATAGTTTGTTATTTTTTCTTGACCAGACTGTTCATAGCTAATTAGATATGCTTTGCTTTAATTACGTTCGCTTCATGACTGCTTCATTGCTAGCTGCAGTGGAGAATAATGGTTAGTTAAAGTGAGAAGTAGTTAGAGGATTTAGATGTTAAGCGTTTTTGACAGCCATTCTCCGATACAATTGGTAAATTTTGTGATGAAAAGATGAAGTGATATGAAGATGAGGAGAAAGGAATAAGAAAGCAGAAAGGATCAATAATGATTTTTAGAAGGCAGTACACTGGGTTTATGATAATAAGATTGATTAGCAGCCGAACAAAGACTGGATAATGCAGGTAGATTAGACCATGAAATATAACGGAACTTTGTGGCGGTTTAGTGAAGTTATAACGCTGTCATTGATATATGATTTGTGCGTGTTACGTTCGATTTAAATCGTAAAAAGGTTCCTCATATAATAAATTTCGTTTCATTGTTTACAGATTTGTTTGAAAAAAGAGAAAGAAAAAGGAAGAAAATTTTTCGCCGTCATTACGACGATCGCCAAAACCGCTATCAACAATTTGGTCTTTCTGATAACGAAACTTTGGCGCGAATGTCCTTACAAGGACCAGGAGAATGTTACGTAAATTGGAATAAGGTAGCACTAGGTGTGGCTACCTTCGACGTCACCAAATCCTGGATATTCGCGCCCGAATCCTGGTGACTTATTTTTCCCTGCTTATACCAATTCTCTTATCTCTTCTGTTGTATTCAATTTCACCCTGCTCCATTCTATTCTGTTATTATTGTTCCCCCTTGTCACTAGATCTATTTATATTAGCCAAAGAGAAAAAGGTGACCAAAAGAAAATTAGCAGTAATTCATTTTTCTTCCTCGAAACATATTTTAATGTGGCGTACATCCAGGACAGCTGTGACTTATTTTCACTGTTAGAAGAGAACGTAATTATCTACACGCTACTTTATTGCAGTTGCCACTATAACAGTTACTGGATACTGCAACTACTACTACTACCATTATTACCATCATCATCGCCACCATTACTACTGCTACTACTACTACTACTACTATCACTCCTACTTCTCCTTCTACTACTGTTACTACTATTATTTATTGCTGCTGCATAATCTCTTTGTCAGTGTATTTCATGTTTTATTGGAGATAGCTAAAAATTTCACCAAATTTCAGTATGTCCACCAATGGTGGAAGTCTTGAAGATTGTCACACGAACGTCTTTGCTTTGGTAAGTATGAATTAAAAAGTGCATGTAGCTTTTCGGTTATATTTGCGCTCGGCTTGGGCATGAATAAATTTTTTTTCCGGAGATAGGTTACAGAAGCAGCAATTAAGTAATTTCATTTGTCTTACAGGTGTTCTTGAAAAGTAACATTAAAAGGAAGGGTGCTATTATGCATTTATAATAGGTTCTATGTCTTACGTGAAATTACACATTTCATGTAGCGAACTAGTCGACATCATTATTGCTAGGGTACGGAATGTATTTTTTACGTCTCGATCAGGAACAAATAATTTGAAATTAAATCACAAAGCTATATTTGTCTACCTTGTGAAGATAGGGGCATGACGTCATGTTGAACTTACGCTTAATGCTCAGCTTGTCATATTAGAAATAAGAAACGTAAACGAACCTGGACAAAATTAAATATTCCTCCAAGGACTTTTCACTATCAGTAGGGGATATTGTTAATATTGATTAAGTTGTTGGAAACATTAGGGTTGACAATGTCCTTATTTTGCGCTTAGCTTCTTAGAGGAAGATGCATATATTTTTGTTTGCTTGTCAATGCAAATTAGATTGTGATGGATAAGGGAAGGGGCAATGTGAAGTTCCAAATATTATAAGCAGCAGAAGAGGATGAATAATATGCTAAATGAAAAAGTGTGAAATCTATATAAGGATTGGAGACTGCAGGAGAATGTTATAAAGATGTCGAAAAATATGTAAATACGGCCCCATCATTAGCTGCTGAATTTAGCGGATTCGATCCGCATCTTGACATTTTTTCAGAATACAGTTCACGCGATCATTGAGGGGTGATACCCGTAGTTGGGAAGTCATGGGAAGTGGCAATAGGTGAAGGAAGATTGTTGAGAAAAGAAAAAAAATTCTTTTTAAATTTTTTAAATCTAATAGAAAGTTGTTAGAGAATTGAACTAATAGAGAAAGGAACAGTTATTCAATTATAAAATAAGTTTGTTCCGGTTTTTTTCCAGACGGAATTGAATGGCCTCAAATGGAAATGCTTAACAACACCTTTGTCACAAAGAACGTGGACCAGTCTGGAGCAAGATCCTGTGTTAAGTGCTTACGCAAGATGTTTACAAGCAGGAATTCTTTGTGCTTGGAGACGACAACCACCACAACCAACTGGGACACTTGCAGCTATGCAGTTACCAGATTACAGGATAGATGTTGTAAAAGAATTGTGGGTTTTCTGGTACTCTCACGAGGAACCGGATTGTCTCACTGAATATACCAGTCATTTGGCTTGTATGTTGTTTTTTGTTGATTTTTGAAGACATTTTTTCTTTCATCTTTATTTTGTTTTGTATCTGATTTCAATGAACACACTGTTTATGTATATAAGGACATTAATAATACGACAACCATTTTCCAAATTTTGGAACAAACCTTGTTTTATATTCCAAAAAATCTGAATTAGTTAAGGTTTAAAATTTTTATCCATTGTCATTTAATCACTTCTTTTGTTGAGTGATTCATTCATTCGGTAGTGTTCAATATTGTTTGATGTTCTTTTTCCTCCCTCGCCTTCCATCTTTTTTGTAATACTGTAACATTGGACTGCTTTTATCAAAATTTTCTAAAATTTGAGCAATAAAACGCAACTAGAGTAAAATCTCTAACCATATGGATGAGCTAAAGTAACTAATAATAATATATGATATCGTAATCTTGCGGTAGGAAATCTAATATTTAGTGATCTTTGATCTTTTATGGGTGCTGTCAACAGAAGGTATTTATCAAATATTTGGGAAAAGAAAGAAATCTGCTATTCTAAAAATAAAATTTTTAGGTACTGAAGATGGTCAAGGCAACTGGTCGATACCCGGTATACAGTATGAGACGAGGACATTATTTTTCAAGGCACTACATAATTTGATAGAACGGTAAGTTCAGGTAATTCTACATTGCAATATTACGTGTACTTTTAAAATCACATGATCGAGATCACAATGAAATTCAGTGTTCGTACCATCATATTCGTTATCATTGACGTATTCTTCAAAAGTTTAAATACCTACCGAAATTAATTTTTTCATTTCTGCAATATTTTACATTTTTCATTTTCCTGCTTTTTCCATGAAAAGAAAGGGATAAGTTTTGTAGGAGTGAAAAGCATTTTCTTCTATTTTTTTTTCTTTTTTTTGATCTGCACTGAAATAGGTGAAGTTATGCTGAGTATTTAAATTCAGATATTTCTCCTTGTCCCACTCAATGCAGTGGTAGACTGTATTGAGTATATTCAAGGCGTTGTTATTCTGCATTCAAGGCGTTGTTATTCTGCAAAATCTCTTTTCAGGAATATGCTAAAAAATGGATATATTCGTATTGGAAAATATTTTACACGTCCTTACGAAGTGCCTTCATCTGATCGTATACACTGTTCTCCTAAGTATGTATTCTTTGAAGTTTTTGATTGGTTATGAAGGAGCCATTGGTAGCTATTGTTTTTACTATTTCATGGTATATCATTGTAGTTCTAGTAGGAATTTTTGTGTCAACTTTGAACGATTTTAAAATTTGGGGTGATTTTTGTCAACCATCAAAGGAACATAGCTACCATATCATATACAATCTTATGGTGGTTGGCAGGAAAGGAGGAAAAGATGGAAGATATTGAGTAAGGTAATGGAGACTCAGTAGTGTGTTTTTGTGTTCGGACGTACTTTTTACTTACATTCTTTTTTTCGTACTTGTCGGCTTTCAGTTATGTGATCGATTGCTTGCATAGTTTCCTTTCAATTTGTGTAAAATTACATTAAATCAGATTCGCTTGAAATTATTCCCTTTTCAGCTACGTGAATGGGATCAGTTTCAATTTTTTCGTTCATGGTGAAAATACTGTTTGTGCAACTGTTTCTGTGCAACGACAGCCTACTTTGTTTCGCCTTTCACGACGCCATTTGGATTTGGGTAAGAAACAACCGGTGATATTAGGACCATGGTCGATGCGTGCTGTATTACTACCCGAACAACCGAGGATTTTGGATTCCGCTACACCAATATTACAGCAACAGCCTCCCACACCACATTGCGGTCTGTTTCAGTTCATCTTTCTTACTGGCTTTTTATTTTTTCCGGTTTTATGTTTCAACATCAGTTTTTTTACTGTTTCAAGTCTATTTTTATTTTGATAGATTAGCTTGGAACTTAAACTATTTTCTTAGCTGGTATGTAGTCATAATTGTTGCGGTTATTCGGTTTTGTCACTTGAATCTTATGATGTATATGATTCGTTATCTTTTATTCTTTGAACTTTTGTCAGATCAACGATACATTTCATTACAGCGCAGTTGTTATCATCGTTGTAATATTGTAAGTATCCTGTCATATCTTTTTACTTTACTTTTTTTTGGTTAAAATGATTTTTTTAGGTAGTTTTACCAGTTCCTCAGCGCCATATTCAAGCAGATGTCGTGAGCCGTTATCTTCTGTTGTACATCAAGTAAATCCAGTTCCATCCTCATCGGTCGATTCCGACACTGTTAGTAGTAGTTATGATGGTACAGGAACTATTTCAAAAGCTGCTGTGGACAAATTGTGGTCTGAATGGCTCCAGTTTTTCTGTTTAATTGTTAATGTTGAAAGGAATATAAGTTCGGCAGATACTGTTGGTTATATTGGCTACACCGAAAATGTTAGTTTTTTTTGAAATTTACTGGAGTTTTGTCCAGCCCTCCTTCACAACAGAAAACTCTTTCCTTTCTTGTTGAATCGTTCTACTAATTACAGTGCGACGTGTCTCCTGGTGATGACAGTGCATGTTGGATACAGTTAAACATAGGTTTCATTTAAAGGAACATCTGTAAGAAGCATGTTAAAACAACTGTTTAGGACTTAACTTATAAAAAATTTGAATAGCTTATTTATTGTAGGCATCACCAACCAAAAGTAGTCTGCCAAAAATGGTTTTAGTGGATGTGGATGGCGTTCATATGTGGTACCCAAGTTCACTGATTGTTGTCCAGGCTTCCGATGACCTGTTGATGAGGTTTATCTTTTGTCAACACTGCTCATACGGATATGATTGATTTTGCGAAGTTTTTTATGAAATGAATGGGGTCGTATCTCCATAAAAATTGTCGAAACAGGATTTAATTTTTCTGTTTTTCTCGCTTCTAGGTTTATTAAAAGTGAATTATTTCTTTTGGTCATATATCCGCTTTTTCGTCTTTGGAATTCGATGGGATGGTCGTTGGCAATTCAGAAATCTCACTTTAGTTCAGGCATTGCAAATTATTTTAGACAGAATGAAAAGACTACCAATGATGACGATTCAGACTTTCTCAATAGCAGAAGTAACAGTAGCAGTTTTACTGCGCGAACACCACCGGCTACTGGAGGGCATACGAGGTTACGAAGTACTCCATCATTCCGGAAACGGAAAAAGAAGCTGAGCGAATGCGACGGAGGACTCAGTGCTGAACGGCATAATGCAATGTATGGAACGATGGTAAATGGCGCACGTTCAGCACAAAGGTTTTTTTTCGGTCTGAGAAACTGATTAGTTTTCGGAGAAGAAAGCTTCCAACAGCTTTTATAGGTGACCCTTTTAATGTGAGATAATCACTTTTAAGGTTTTTTGAAGAATCCTTCATTGCTCCAGCAAATAATCGACGCAAAGAGAACACGGAATCACCCTCGTCTTCTGGTTTGGGTCTTTTGATGTCAGCTGCTACAAGTGATGATGACTGCCGGTACTTTTTATCTGTTCTTTGTTACACAAATTTTTTTCCACCTCAATTCATTTTTAATTCTGAATTTTTTGAAATTAAAACACAGAGAGGCATTGAGATGAAAATGCGTAGATACGTAGAATTGCAAAAAAGACGTTTTAACGTTTTCATTTCGATGATTTTAAACAGATGCAATGCATCAATTCATTGCATCAATGCAATTATACTTCCATACTTGGGCTTAGCGCCAACCGCATTGATGCAAATGTTTCATAACTGTAAATCAGATATTATAATTCATATATGAATCTCTTTTGAGGTGGAATTTTACGGATGGAATGCGACGAAAGGATCGTGAAGAAGAATGTGGTTGCCATCAATGCCGTATACAGCATTCTAGCGGGACTGCCACTATGTCCAATTTATCATCTCAATGTATAGCACCTCAGCAAGGCATGTGTTTGTTTTATTTTTTTGACTGTTACAAGAATTTACTATAGTATCCAATCATTTTTCCATCTATCCAATCATTTTTTCTTCTGGATGTTTCCGTAAAAAGAATATGGACTTTTAGTCGATTTCGAATCAAAGAACAATAGATCTCGTCATCTTTAATAAATGATTATTTAAGAGATCGGTGATTGTTGTTATTTTCAGACGTTTGTATTGGTCAAGATCCTAGTCAGTCATGTTGTGCACCAATTAATTTTTCGAGTAACGGTTCCAGTTTGAAAGCGAAGAAGGAGTTAGTTATCTGCTTTCCAAAAAGAATAGAGAAACATGTAAACAGTTAAGGAAATATGAAGAACTATTCCTACTTATAATTTCTATACTATGTTTTTTTACCTAATTAACAGCGCTTTAACTGCCACTGTTGCTTTACAGAAGACCAGTCATATTCCATCGACGTTCTTCATTTTGTGCACGGTCTCTATCACCTCCACGATCACCGCCTTGGGAAAAGAAAATTCTAGCTACCAGTTCGGAAGTTTTAGATGGTGAACCTAATCTTGACTGGATACGTGAAAGCTATTTTCCTAATTCTAGAAGTAGTTCAAGATCTGGACGTACAGATTCAATGCATGGTAAAAAATTTTTTCTGATTACGTTAATACAGCTTTATCATTAGTAATCATATTGCAAACGCTTAACTCAGCAGTTTCGATCCCTTTAAAATAACTCTGGTTAATTGAAGACAACTTTTAATATTTATAATTTTATTTCATTAGTTTTGCATGGTCCTAACTGCATTGTAGTTTTGCTAGATTAAGTCTTTTATAACTCTTTAATTTAAATGATTTGGTTATTGATCATTACGCTCTGCAGAAGATAGGCATATATGTCCGAAAACACCAGATGCTTTGGGGATAACGGGAAATGCAGAACGTCGACGGGTGCAAAGAAATTCCGTGCAAATGTTTAGTAAAATTGGAAGCTGTAAACCAGTCTATCAAAATTTAAGTCCTACTAGTCGGTAAATCTCTTTGATCTTTGGTGTTTATTTTTCGATCAATTTCAGGGGAAGATAAATTGGTTTTATTGCACCTTATACAAACAGGAATTAATTAAGAGATAAAATTTCCGCAGCATATTGAATTCTACCTTAGCTTGGATTGTAATTTGTAGTTCCTAAGGATGAATCTCAGTGCACTGGACTTTCCTGTTCATTTCTTTAAAACTAAAGTATACCATTTTAGACCACGATCCCCAGCTTGTGATACATCCCAAACAGAGTCATTAAATCGGATGCAATCGAAAGATTGTTTAAGCAATGATTTCGCTTCATTATCAGCTAGAAAACGTGGGCCTACGATTGCTGAACAACAACCTAATTTAATTAACAGCCTGCGACTGAGAAAGGTTCATTCTCAAATTCAGTTAGATTTAAAATTTATTTCTCAAGTCTAGATAGGATTTAGATTTGTTACTTAATGGCAACAAGTGAACTGTAAAATGAAATGTTGATTAGTTTTCAAAAATTCATTTTAAAGCGATTGCTAAGCCAAAAGGACTGCTGTTTTAGAATTGAATTGTCTAACTGGTGAAAACTGTCTCCATGCGTAACAGTGATAGCTGCTTCCAATTTCGGTTGTTAAAATTTAATGAGCTAATTCGAAACTATTGGTTTTAAGCTTAATCGTATTGTTCATGAACACAAATTTTTTTAGGACAGAAAATCTAAGGGGCGAAAACGAAAAGCGGATGAAAAGTTAGAATGGAGTGGTATTGAATCACTGGATGTGTCGTTTCTGACAGCAAAAGTTGGTGTAGGTTTTTTTTTTGGGAATTAACGGATTTTTTTTTGCGAGTATTTGCAGAGGTTGTGGTGATGTTTTGCTCTCTTTAACGCAGTATTTTGGACCATATTCTAGAAAGAAATTTGAACAGATAAGGGACGGAATATCAGAGTATTGCTAAAATACTTTACTTAAAATCACGAAATTGTTATGGATTCCTTTGTGTGTATAAGAGTAGTCCTGAGAGCAAGAGCTGGATTCTAGATTTTTTCCTTTTAATTTAATGGATTTTATTTTGCAGGAAGATAATGAGGATGGTGATGGCATTAATTTTACATGCTCTAATGACTTTAACCTTCATGAATGCAAGTTGGAAATCAATAACGGAGCAGTCGAATCCTCGGGTAGTAGTCGGTCTGCAGTACCGCAAACTGGATCTTCTCTTAATAATATTTTAACCTCTCAGGCGCAAGACGGTTTGCGCAATTTGCCGGTGTTCTCGCAAAGTAACCTATTTTTTTAGAATTTTGGTAGAAATATTGTTATCCATTACTAGGAATCAGTTTATTTTGTTTTTAATTCCGGTGTTTTTTATTTTTATCTTTACGATTAGTAAAGAAAATACCTTAGCATGTATAGACGTCATGAAAGCCGAAGACAGCATTAAAGAGCAACATAGCATTCTTAACCTCTACACAAAAGTTTCGCATTTATTTTTAAGTGTATTACGAAAATCAGAATCAGACATGAAATTATTTCATTTGATTTATCTTAAATTTTAGTTCCCAAAATTTGTTTCCAAGTTCACTGAGATATTTTCCTTTTTCAGTCGGGTCTGTTTTGCCATCAAGTGCAAGTGTTAACTTAACTTCTAGTATTTTTACTTCGGATTGTGATACTCAGCCTTTGTTCCTCGACGATTGTAATCCATCCGCTATTGCAGTGATCGAAAGAAGAAGTCCGGTTGATGTATGTTTTATCCTTTTAATAAGGAGCCTAATTAAATTAAAGTCAAATTCTGGTGAAGGAGTGGGGTGATTTGCAAGTTTTGTAGAGGCCATTGATTTAGATATCATTAATAGTTTTTGATAGAGATCATTCATGAGAGAAATAATTCGAACAGTTTTGAGATAAATCCAGAAACGAGGGTGAATGATCTGTTCTTCTTCAACCTACGATGCAGTGTTTTTTCTGCTGACATCATATCAAAGATTGTAATTTAAATCATTGCAAAGCATACAGCAAGAAATTCAATTTGTTAAGACAAACTTTGGATTTTTTTTTCCTGCTATTACTGCTTTTTCCAGACTGTTGTAACCGATTCGGTGCATTTGTCGCCTCCAGCAAGCAATGAAAGAGTTGAGCCTACGCAAATTTTGGGAGGAACTGTTGCAAATGTGGTTTGTTATTCCGATTTTTCGTTTAGCTTAAAAGTTTGATTTTGAAGACCTGTTCCATATTTGAATAGTTCCAGTGGGATTTCTTTAAGATACCATTTGAAATCCTATACGAAATTTTCAAATTGCCGAAAAATACTTCTGAACTTGCGATTTTTCCAGATGGCACGTGTTGGCGGACCTCCATCAGTTGGTGATTATATGATATATCCAACTCCACCATCAGTTGATGCAACTCAAGTAAATTTTACGAGAATATTAATCAATTTATTGGTTATTTTGTACCTTTCCATAATATTTGATATTAAAATTTTTTTTTGTTTTGCCGTCTTGACGGTTCTTTTGTGGAGGAAGCAGGAAATGATTTTTCTCTACGTGTTTCCTTCATTTATGAAAATTTCCTTCTAGTGTTATAATTCTCATCGAGTAAAATTTATAAAATTCATTTCTTTTCAGTCGCAACAATTTAGTCCGCAAAATACGCTCATACAAGCAAATCCAACTAGTATCCTTTATCCGCCAACGGTTTCTTATATGGCAGCAGCAGCGGCAGCAGTAAATCTTTGCCATAGTATTCCTCCTGCGCAACTACCTCCTAGTATCATTTCGGAAACTGATATTACTACCGATATCGCCTCATCTGTGAAACGGGAATTTGATAATGACGATGAAAGACTTCTGGTTTGTATCCGATATTTCTATTAAAAATTAAAAAGTGTTAGATGACTTTCTGGGCATGAAGCCTTTTCATTACATGATTATATTATATCGAATAAAGATCCGTTTTTCATTTCTCACGAGTTTATTTTACTTATTCACTCTAGGGATTTTCTGGAAGGTGATACCAGGGAAGTTTAGCCTTCGTGGTTTAATATATACTAATATATTTATTTTTTTTCACTCGTTTTCTGGTTGGGTGTTGTTAATGAAAGCCGAAAGAGAATTTAAAAAAATTTCTAGTCCTGACCTTGTAGTTTTTCTCTTGATTATGAAGTCTTATAAATGATGATTTGAAAGGTGAACTGCAAACGCAGCTGGTATATAAACTCCTGGTACATACTTTTTTTTAAAAAAAAAAAAATGTGTGGCATATAATTTTCGTTGATCTAGATTTTATCACAAATTCGACACTTTATTAGACTATTGTGAATAAAGAAAAAGAATTGTTTGAGTAAAAAATCTTATGCAGGGTAAGCTGCATTATTCAATTGATGAAAAGCCGGTGTACGGTAAATTTATGAAGCTGGAGATGACACTAAGTGGAAAGTTTGCTGGAAATATACTTGCCAAGGAATTTTTATCGCTGGAGGTAAAACTTGCGTTGTTATTGGAATATATTTAAAGAAAAAAAAATGCAGGAAAAAAGAGGACAAAGAGTGGGATAAATGTTATTTGTAGGTTTGATCTTTGCTCACAGGATTCTTTTACTTAAATAGTTAACTGAAAGGAAAACTGTCGATTTTGAAATTTAGAAAAGAAACTTCCGAATTGCATTTTGATTTCATCATTCTAGAAACTTTAAAATTTTAGGCAAAAAAATGTCGAATGCTGGAAGGTGTCTATGCAGATCAGTTAAAGCTTATCAAAACAGCCGTCGCAGCGCGTGAGAAGCGGAAAAAAGTGGGTCGTGCTCCAGATTATTTATTTATGCGTGAACGCCTCCGGAATCTTGCTCCGCACTCACCTTTTGCAACAGTGCGTCATTATCGAATGCCATACAACAATGGTCATATGCTTCCTTCGCATTGTCTACCAACTTTGCAAAGTATGTTTTTAAATTTTTAATTTTAAGATCTAAGTGGATACGTTAGAGAAGTGTAGAGAAGTGGAATTAACTAAGAATTGGATCATTTCATCATTGCTTGAGCTCTAATCATTCTTCGTCAGATGAGCTGAGTAATAATTTTACTTTTCCTTTTTCATCTTAGCAGTTTAAGGCTTTACATGTCCATCTCTTTTGTTATTCAATAGTTTGTTTGTTCACGCATTATCCAGAACATATTATTTTCTGTAATCTTTAGTTTTCTCTTATTGTCATTTATTATTAATGTTATCTAATCTAAAGAGGCCAAAGTTAGCACCTGAATCTGTCCATTTGCAGTGTTACCACATGGTATGTCGATGAATGGTGTGTCTAATTACGTTACTAACGGACCACCATTTACGGGAACATCCTATAATGCCAATAATTCAGTGATGAGCTTGATTATGGGTAGTGGTTGTATGCCATCTGGTGGTAACGCTATCATGCAACCGATGCCTGTTTCCTCACGAATTGGTGTCGTTCATATGAATCAGCAAATGCCAATGACACATCTTCGACCACTAGCAAGGTTTATTTTTGGCTATAAAAAACTAACTGCGGAATTTAAATTCTTATCGCTAAAAACTATGAAACGAATTTTCTTTTAGGATGCCATCCATACCGCCATATGCTTCATCACAAATGGGTGCACTGCAACATACTCCTTTTATGGGCCAATCAGCTCAGTTCTGTGGTCCTCCTGGAGTGATGAACGCTCCTAATCCGATCTGTTCATTCCCGGGTGGTCCAATTTGCTCGATGAGTTCTGGTCCAATGCAGTCATCGCACATGCTTGGTGGAATGCATGGTACAACTCCATCGCAACCACCGCAGTCACTGGGTGCAAATACTATACATTCGACGGGACCACCAAACGGACAGTTCTCCATACAACAGCCGCAACAACCATTCCAACAACTGAGTCATTTTGTTAACAATGCCAATTTCAATGGACAGATGGGAATGGGAATCGTGAATCCATCGCAGCAAAATACCTACCAACAGCAGGTACTCGGGGTGTTCTTAAATATTGTCATTGTTGATAACTGTCTTATGAATTAGTCAAAACTAGGATAAAATGGCTTGGGATCTCAAGGAATAATGGAATGATATTAGTTTTCACCATTATAATAAGTAGTAAAGTTTTAGGTCGCAAATCACTGGATTTTATTTCAAAATATTGGCTGGTTTTGAAAAAAGAGTAAGCTGCATATATATATTGAACTAAGAGATTTGTCCAATTGCAGATGATGTTTCGGTGTCATATGAGTGGAAATTTACCAGCGCAGCATCCCATTCATTCATCAGACTCCTATGGAATTGATTCGCAGGTTCGATCTGTATATGTTGCATTACTTTAAAATCAGACAGCATAGAGGTTCCTCTGTAAATATGCTTGTGGTTGGTCAAAATTCGGAGTCTTACTAATTGCAGAATGAGACCAGTATACTATTCAGAATCCATAAAAAGAATAAAAAAGCAAAAATAAGTAAACAGTAAATGATTTTAAGACTATAACCACTTATTTTCCAGAGTCATGCGTCAGTCGAGCCACCGCCATCATTTTCTCAAGCAGTCAACCATCAGTATGCTGCAGTGCATAACGTTCAAGCTGGTTCAATGATGTATTCACAGTCGGGGCACATAATGCGTCCGAATACATTAATGGCGCAAGCGCAGAATCCAAACATGATGTGTGGTCCACGGACATCGCAGAATCCCATGATGACGGTACCATCATCCATGGGAAGTCCCAATAATGGTGGAATATTCGGAAGGTAAATGAAGAGCCAATTCAAGGGTTTTATTATTTTCTAAATATTTACTAAACAATTAAGTAATTAAAAGGAATGAAATGAATGCCATAATAATTATTAAAGTTCATGTAACAAATAAACATTTATCAAGGAATTTTTTTAAATGGGTGCTTTTGCTCATAGAACTAACTATTCTAGAAATTTTTTTCAGCCGCCTAATGAATATGCCGCATGTCATGGATACAACTGCTGTTCCAACGAGTAACATACGGACGAATCCGGAAGGGAAATCCTTGGTACTCGCTGTACTGCTTCAGGATACCGTTCTAGATCTTCATTATGATTCAGTCTTTGATGCTTGTCCAATTTGTTCATGTAACGGTAGCATCAGAGCAAAGGTAGGTATTCATTTTTTGATTTAGCTGTAACTCGTCGTCTTGCTGGAAATGAAAGTTGGGTATTGAAATGGAGATTGACCTTGTGAGGAAAGGAGAGGTTAATATTAAACATAGAATAAGATTGAATAAAATCTGAATAAATTTTCAGGAACTTGGAGTCTATATAACGCCACCCGAAGTGCTGAGACAACCAGCAGCGCAGCAGCAGCTAATTGTTAGTAAACCGACTAGTGGATTTTATAATAACACATCGAATTCATGTAACTGTGGATTTAGGTACGTTTTCGAAGCACATTAAATTAAAAAGATGGACCGACATCTTTCTAATTTGAGGATCAAATTTTTGTTTGAAATTTTTGGATATATTTCGCTCTAAAACTTTTTGATCCATTTGTTTCATGTGGTTGTCGGTCTTAAAAGTAATTCTCCTTCGTTACTTTTTTCATTATATCCACAGACAGTGATGTATTCTTTATCAGGTGCTAAATCCTAGTTGATGACACGTAACATTTATGCCTTCTGCTGGCTTTCTAATTTATGAGCTTTGCTGGCACATGTTTTCATTAGCTTCTTTTCAGTGCTGTGCGACATCGTTACTTAAGTATGAAAGCTGGTTTATTCGCTGAAGATGCTAAAGAAGCAACTGATATCAATGAAACCCAAAGTCAGCCAGCAATCCCACATACCATTTGGTTCGACTCAATGAGTGGACGGTTTGTTCTCATTTATATAAAGCAGGAATATCAATTTGAGCCGCCAAACGATCTTCTGGTTGTAAATAAAGAAGAAAAAGATTTATGCAAAATGAATTGAAGCACTAGTGGTGCTCGCAGTTAAAAATTACTGTAAAGTCAGATCTTAAAAGAAAAACTTGAAATTTTTTCAAAGTGCTATCTACCAGCGTCCTCATGACAAATTTTTAAGGGATATGAATTTCATCGCTTTGTTACGTGAACAAACACTTGTACGGGATCTTGGTGGATTGTTAGATCAGGTCACGTTACTCAGCCTGCAGTGTGAGCGAGCTTCGCAGGTAAACATGAACATAATTTTCACAAGTTAAAAGATTCGGTAATTTGAACAATACATGATGCTAGTGTGAACTATTACGATTTCATTATTCTGAGGAATAGAAATATCAGTTTTTTACGGGATCGTCTACAGCATAGGAATAACAATGCAAATAAATTGCAGGTTTTAGATGGAAAGCTTTTTCGTTCCGTAAAGTTTTTTGCTGAAAATGTATCTATGAAACAAATCTTGAAAACTCTCAAGTATATAACTTTAAGGTTTTATGAGTTTGTTTCATAAATTTGTTATCCATCATGATAATCTTTGTTTAACAGACGGAGCGCATCGGATCCGATTCATCAAAGCATTGCGAGTATATCATTTCGGAAGTGGATCAACGGGAATTACCTTTGGTATTTCAAGCTGCTTGCGAGGTTGCTTGTATGGAAATGAATTGCCGACGTCCACCACACGATGTGCGAAGTGTGCTTCTTCATGACTGGGGAGTTCAGGTGAGTCGTTACTGAAAAAAAAAATCAAAGAAAAAGAAGACATCAAAATAATTGAAGTGGTAGAGGATGAATCTATTTATTCAGTTGAAATGAAAAATTAATTTATTAAACCAAAGAGAAAAAAATAAAGCTCTCGGTGGGAATGTGACTGCCATTCAGTTAATTGCAGGTATCAAACGAAATGCGTGAACCACGTGAATCTGAATGCATGGCACTGTTGCAAGAAATTGGACCAATTCTGGAAGAATCTTTACGAATTGCTCGTTCGTCACCACTGTTCGGAAGTAATAACATAGTGGAAGGGCCACTTACATGGCGATTTTTCGATCGCAAAGCATTGAAAGCTGCTGGGGGAATGGTATAATTTTAGCTGATTCACTTTGCTAATAGCTTTTCAGTGTTTTTATTTTCATGGATTTAAATTTCTTCAGTTACAACACGGATTAGCACTTTTAATTCACAAGTCTCGATTTGGTTTCTAAGTCATTAGCTTTTCACTATGTTTTCCAGTTTTGGTTTCGCGTTGCAAATTCCCCTCCAGTTCTCACTTTTGCCCTCAAGTGATAATTTCAAATTTTAAAACACCATTTTAAATTACAAATTTATTCATTTTGTTGACTCTGCTCTCAATTGTGAAAACTCCATTTGGATTTCTAGTTTAATAACGTCAACTTTTCCGGTACTTAACTATTTCCCTGGAATTATTAATCACTGTGAGTTAATTTCCAGCTAAATCATCTGGCAAACTTTTCTAGGAAGATGATAGTGGACCAGAAGCGGTGCCAAATATAGTTGTTGCATCGGAAAAAGATGCAGTTATAACATCACCACAGATCATAAGATTGTGGGAAAAAATGTCATTGGAACCATATGATCAGCCGAAAGATGTACTTTATATCGGTGTTGTTCCGGATAATTTGATTTGCATTGAAAAAACAAAAAATATCTTATGGACTTATCAAGGTATGTTGCAGTGATTTCCTTAATTCCTTTTCCAGATTGCTAGCTTCAAACGTTACCAATATGCATTTGTATAATATGCTTACTAATATTTCAATAAATCATTAGCCTTAGTTGCTTGACTTTATTTATCCAACCCATCACGCATTTACTAATTTGCTTCATTATGATTTATTCTCTTGTAATTATTTAGTCATCTGTTCACGTATCAAATTGAATTCTTCGTTGCTTTTTTCCAAAAGCATGTGAAAGCTAGCTCGCATACATAACACTACTTTTACTTTGTTACTGAACAATAAATGATGTTGTGAATTAACAAATTATATATTTTTAGCAAATTATGTATTATTGAAATCTGTCTCCGGTTGCAGAATGTACGAGCAGTGTCGTTTTGGTCGTCATATACCATTTTCACGGGAAGTATTACGAGATGGTCTGTTGCGTGTTCCGACGCGGTATCCAGCAACGAATCCGGGTGAATGTGATAATTTCCTGAATCAAGTCGAGCGACATATTGGCGATAATAAGTCGTTGATTACGCGATTAAAAGTTCGGGATTACTGCTTTTGTTTCTCAAGAATAAGGAGGATAAAAATTTGGTAGTCCAAGGTGGAAAAGGAAGGTGTGGTTAGACGATAACACTGTTTGTCATTACTGTAAAAGAGAAATCATAGTAGCATGTCCCATTAAGATTTTTTGCAGTCTTGCCACCTTATCAATATTGGATATTTAATTTTTTGGCGGTTTTCGCGCACTTACTTTACTTTGATTGTGGTTGTTTCCAGGTGTATATGCAGTATTTCGAAAATGAAATGGCCCGTATATTGATTAATAACGATGATATCTTCAGCCGAGACAAATATCGTGCTGCTTTGGCTGATAATCAGGTAACGTTTTTGTTTTTATTAATATATAGATCTTTGTACCTACTGAAACATGTTGTTCAAAACCAAATTGCTCAAAAATGTTAAAATTCAGAATCGATTTTATTCCCTGCAATTTGAAAATCGAAAGCCCGAGTTCTGTCCCATATTCTATATCACTGCTTATAAATATAAGCAGCTGAGGGATTGATGCGATATTTTTCAATTTCAGATGCATTCTTTACCGCATGTTTCGATGGCAAGTTATCAGTGTGGAGGATATACAGTATCAAGTTCTGACCACATGCCACCACCTTCGGCACCTGGAAGTATTATCATTTCCGGTCAGTCCAGTGAAGCTTCACATGGTATCTTTTCTAGAATCATTTAAATTTGTAATTTTTTGTAAGTGCAAGATTCATTTGTCCTTTTTAAATGCATATTTTACCGAGAAAAAAATCAAACACTCAATATTTAAATGCAGGTCCAAGTAGTACCAGTGGTCCAAATTCATCCAGTGCAACTTCTGCAAGCATTGGCGAATCCTTGACACCAGAGGGTTCTATCGGTGATGGAAGTGCTCAAAATATGAACAGTTTTTCATCTTTCATGACTGAACAATTAGTTGCTGATGGTATCATAGCGGAGGATGAACCCGGGACTCTACCTCATGTTATTGTCATCTACCTCGTAAATATTTGTATCATTTTCTTGTGGTACTATTGAATTTCGTGCTTCATACACATTTATTGAGTAAATTCAGTAAATCATCACGCAATTAAATGGAGATATTAATTTGCACTTCATATTTATCGTTATGAATTTTACATTTATAAGCTCCAAATAGTCTTTAAAAATTATTAGACATATATTAGAAATGTTAAATTATAACTCGAAAATTATTAAAAACGATGCTGTTTTTCGGGCGCTTAGATTGTAATCAGATGGTTGTTTCTTTGACTCAGTTAATTAAAATAGGTTCAAAGTTTTTCAGTTTTTCATTCAAACGTTGAAAATTTAATTATGGTTCAGGTGAATCCGTTTTTATTGGGTGCTGAAGAAAATCCACTTGTTGCAAGAGTTGTTACGGTTGCTTTGATGCGTGCATTTAATGCACTCCTTTACCGTTTAAACAATAAGCGTCGACCGCAACTACAACTGGAAATGATTGCATTACAAAGTATTTTCGATTATTGTGGTGTTTCTGCAGATTTCTTAAAGGACGAACGTGGACGTCTGAATGGCTATGATCAGGGTATGTGTTATTTTCATAATCACGAGATCATTTAAAAATGATTGATGCGAGGAGGAGGAGTTTCATTTGTAGTATCATTAGTAGTTAAGGAATGCGTTTTATAGTATGTGCAAGACAGATTAGTATAATCAGGTTAGACTAGTATAATCTTTTGTCGGATCTTAGATATATCGGTTCTGAAACTAATGCTGTAGCCAAATTTCTCAAAAATTTAGCTTTTCTAATATAAAGAATTCAACTTTTAATTAGGTTTATTTTTCACCATATTATTTCTTGATATTCTTTTCCAGGACGTTTGGAGAAATCACAAAATGAACGGTTATCATCATCCGATTCACTCAAAACTATTGCATTTTCGGTTTATACACATTCGCGTGTGGTATTACCGGATATTGTGCGTGGGATTTTGCCAAAAAGCATGACACGTTTTGGTCCCGCATCAGCTATGGTTGATTTGTTGAACGAACTGGAACGAAAAGAACCTATTTATTACAAGGTATTTGCTCTTTTCATACGTTTAGAACTTTGATTATGCTACAACCTTGTGAAAGTTTCGGATGTAACTATTATTTTTGCTAAAAATTACCTTCGGGTCACTTATTAGGACTCTCCATTAGGACTGTGTATCACAAGCTTTTAGAAAGTTACCTGGAGCTGCTCGGGATATTATTTTTAAATCTTGCGATTGCACCTTTTAGTAAATGCAGTATAATTTCTGTTTCATCTTTCAGTAACTGTAGTTATTCATTTCAGGTCCCAAGCAAGCCATTCATTCTCGCCCCACCATCACCAGTAATGCAGCGTCCGAACTGTGATCTCATGCAAATCAGTACCGATGAAGCTGTACTGTTTGTTAGTTATTGTTTAATAGGGAATGACTGGCTTGCTGCCACAGTAACGGATCATCAGGGCCATTCGCTGGACAACTGTCTAATTAATTTGAGGTTAAAACCTGACCATAAAAGGTATGTTGCTAAGCTTGCGAAAAATAATTGCAGTTGTTTCGCTTGTGCACAATTGTTACTTTTTTCTTGCAAAATCATTTACAATAACGAAAAAACATTTTGAAGGTACAGGGGATTTTATTAGATGCGTAATGACTTTCTCAAAGAGTTAGCTTTTGAAGACCTCGAAGGTCTAATTATGAGCAGTGTATCTAGTCATATATCCTAATAACATGAGTCAGTGCAAAATGATGATCTGATTTGGAAAATGCTGGTTGATTACAGAGTGAACATGAGATACAAACAGTCAACACAGATCCGGGATAGTTTATATCGTCTATGGTCATACATTCTGGGTACTCTGGCTAACGGCACCAGGAACTGGCGGCTTGTTATCGGTAGGGTTGGACGAATTGGTCATGGAGAATTTAAGTGTAAGTTATTAATATTCAAATCACGTCTGTTGTTCCCGAACTGTTGGTATCAGGAATAAGCCAGTCAGTTCTTTTTTTCGTTCGGAGACAGTAAAAGCAATTTCATAGTTTAAGCTTGAAACTATTTTATTGAATGATTTGTCAGTTCGAAAATTTCGACTTCAAGCTTAGTCATGTCGTGCGTATAACCATCTCTTTTCATCATTTTCATCACACGTTGGCATTTAATGATGAGTTTTTCAATGATGAATCTTCGTTTTTCTAATTTAAATTCTCATCGCTCTGAAGTAAGTAACTCTAAGCTAATGGAGCCACAACTTTGGTAGTTAAGTTACTTAAAATGGTTCTCATTTAGCTTATTTCAGTTTGGACTCAAATCCTCAGTAAATCTTACTTGAAACAGGTTGGGACGCGCATGAAACATGTATGTCGGGCATGCCATGTGATGCCCGGGACTTCGGTAATCCTTATTTTTATTTGCTGAAACGAATAAGAAACACTGTTTTATATTTGAATCTAATTTTTATTCAGATCGAAATCGATGTGATAAATGTAAACTCATGAATGGCTTTGATCGTTTAATTTGAGTCAAATTTCTTTAAAATATGGACTTGTCACTAAGAAGTCAAAATAGCATTCCTATTTTAGGAAGTTCCCGGAGTGTTGTCAGCTTGTTTGGTCAGTCTGGAGCCCGAAGCTCATCTTCGTGTTTTCCCATCATCTTTTCAGCACGATGATCGTTTCCTGAAAAATTCCCGACACCGTACATTGACGACACCGGATGATACAAGTTGTACACATATTTTGGTTTTCCCTACTAGTCCCGAGTTGAATGTATGTTACCTTGAAATATTTCATTTTTTACACTGATCTCTACTTCTTAAAATTTAAGGGAATTTGTGGAATTTTTGTAGACTCCATTCAAAAAACTTGTAAAAATTTGAACTTTAGATTTCTTGTTTGATTTCCATACGACTGTTTCAAAATATACTCCACTTAAAACTCTAATTGTCTCTAATTTTACTTAAAATATAAATGCAGAGAAAGTGCACATTTACTTTATGCAGTTGAACTGATACTGTTTTTGGTTGAATTTTGAGATAGTTGAAAACCGTGCTAGCAAAGCTTAGTTTGTAACCTTTTAATTAACACATATGCAATTTTAAAGTATCACTGCATTGTCAATTCTTTTCAAATGCAAGAGAGTGAGGCTTCAAATGTTTGACACTCTTTCATCACTTACAATTCAACAAACTCTGTTATATGCCGCGTGATTTCTATTTCTAATGCTTCATTTAATCTGTAAATCTTATTACAGTTGGATCATCAAGGTGGAAACGGCGTTGCCGAGTTGGAAGAGGATGATTTTTCAAATTTGTTGACCGAAGAAATTGGTGAGGAATTCAGTGAACTAATTGGAAACGGTGAGGATCTGATGACAAATGGAACTGGACCACCGCCACAATCGACAAGCTTTCGACTAGGTGGAAATACAGGGATTCCAAGTGAATATGCTGGTGAGTACAATATATTAAAACATATTCTTTCAAAAATGAAATAGAATTGGAAAACGATCAAATTTTCCATCAATATTAAGGTTGATTTTACTACGATGGGTCATATTTTGAATTTAAAACTTTGTTTTACTCGATCATGCTTCCTCCTTTGGTAGTTCTTACAAATTTATCTAGCTGTGTCTATGATACCTATTATTAGTTCCAGAAAAACTAATGAATATTTTAGATCTTTCGATAGAAAATCAGCCACTTGCAACTGGTTACTATATTTCAACAGCACCAGCATCTGATTTGCCAGAATGGTTCTGGTCAGCGTGTCCTTCTGCAAAGCGACGAAATCCGGTACACCTGAAAAGTTCACTTCATTTAAATACACCGAATGTTCAGCAAGGCGATGACATCTCGTCATTTGGTAAGGGTACCGAAGCTTGCCATCATCAGTTGGATAGCCAGGCAACAGCTGATGTTCTCAGGTACCATTCCATATAAGGAAACTGTTGTGCAAATATAATTGAACAGCTTTTTTCTTGACAACATACTCTCTGAATTTAACTTTTCAGTTGTATTTTACGAATCTTGCATGCCTAGTTGACGCACCAGTATCATTTTCCTCTAGTTATACTAAAAAGCTGTTTCAACTTTTATTACTGCGAATAAATATTATTTGACTTCAACCAAAATTAAGAAGATTCTGTTTTTATAAGCTTCTTCTTCTTTTGAAAGGAAATTCCACCTTAATTATAGGTATGTTTTGGAAATGTACAATGCCTTATCCTGGCTCAATATGGATCTGGTAAATGGTGAGCGGCGTTCCTGTCTACCCGTTCATATTCAAGCTCTTATGTGGCTTTGCAATGCTGTTAATCGCTTCATCAATTAAAGGATGATAGAATTAAATGTATATCTTGTCTTAAGCTCAAAAGGATGTGATATTTGAGGTTTCCTACCTGATTGTTGATTTTCAAAATTGATTTAGTCTGAAAAGACGGAAAAGTGAAATTGTGATTCGGAAAATTTTGTCCACAGCAAAAACATGTTTAACTAACCAAAATTTCTGGAGTTAGCTCACGTCCGGGACTCGATTTATTACAAGACTTTGCACTAATAATCGGCAATTGTTTTATTTGCTGTATTAATTGGAAGATTACGTTACTTGTTAAAAAACTCTTTACGGGATCACGGGATGTGAAAGCTATTTGCACGTTTTTCTTTGTTTTCTTCACATATATTTTGATGTGTATTGTTATTATATTCCTTTTTTTTTGCAAATTTTATTCGAAATGTGAAGCATATATCTATCATGTATTATGGTAGGCATCGCCCTGTATTGTATTTCATTTCATACTAAATTGTATTTCGCTTTATACTAAATTGTATTTCATTTCATACTAAATTATATTTCGTTTTATACTAGATTGTATTTCATTTCATACTAAGTTGTATTTCGTTTTATACTAAATTGTATTTCATTTCGTACTGAATTGTATTTCATTTCATACTAATTTGTATTTTATTTTAGTTAACTTCATTTTCAGAAGTCCTTCTGATATTGATTATTTTGATTTCGATAGCGTTTTTTTTTTCGCTTTATGAGCAGATATTTTCAATTTTCTGATTTCGCGTTTTTATTTATTTTTCTGGATTTATGGGAATTTTTTAAAATAATTTATTTTTAGTAATTTTTCTTTCACCACTACATGAAAAATTAGAGAATTCTAGAGTGCAAGGAATGATCGAGTCTTAGTTTGAGATGCTTAGTGACAAATATACGAAAAATCTCTTCCTAATTTGAAATCATTGGTTGGGATGTTAGACTTGCAGTTGGAGATATTAATTTCTAGCCTCAAATTGTCCTGAAATTGTGTATGACATACTGCATGTCAAACTTTCTTCTCTAATCGTCACTTTCTTTTTTTACATCCGCATGGTAAGAAAACTTGAAATTTTTCCCATAGTCATGATTCCGAATTATTATTTTCATGTTTAGCAATCTTCAGGGATATCCATAACTTCTGGAAAATGAAAAATTGAAAATCTGCCTCTTCTTTCTGAAAGCTTCTGCATACTTCTGGTGTTAATTTTCTTTTTTTTCCTTTTCTTAGCTAATTGTACAAACCATAGTTTTCCGATTTATCTTCTTCCATTTGTAAATTGTCTATACATATGGTTTATTTTTATTTGTTTCATTTCCTCTAACCGTTATTTATCAATGATTGTCTATCATTACATTATCATTCAAATCATTACTGCTGTATTATTCGTTTTTAGTAGTTATGAATGAAACGAATAGCATAACTATGATGAATTGTTTGTATGAATTTTGATTCATTCTCGCTTTCATTTATTTGCATTTTGCATTATTTATGATTTTACTTCTTTTTGGTAAAAAAAAAAATAAGCAAACTGTATTTAGGTGATGAATACGGTCGATCATCTTTTGAAACGATATTTTAAAATAATTTATTGATTGCTCTTATTTGTATTAATTTTTCATAAAATTTTCTGAACAAATTAAAACCATACTGTGAGACTTGTTACTTGTGAGAACTAGTATTGCTTTCGTTTTTTTTTTTTTCTGTATACATCAAATTTTTGTACTTTTGTTTTATTTTTTTTCTTATTTGAACAAATCCTTTCTGTTTTCGTTTCGTAGTTTATTAATGGTTAATATTTCCATTGTGATATTTGTACTTGATGTTGAACGATACAAATGAAACAATAGTTTGTTTGTTTGTGTGCTTTTTTTTTTCTCTCTTTCTCTTGTTTCATTGTAAAAATATGGGATGATAGTTGTTAAGATTTTTTTTTCTTTTTTTTTTAAATTAAGGGATCGGAAGTCGGATAAGAAATATTGGTAAGTACTGGTCAATGATAATTAATGAAAAAGAGATGAGATAATGATGAATTCTTATTCTCATCTAACACAACAAACGATTATTTAGATCGTTCAATTTATCTGCTGTTCTAACTTTCAGAAAAAGGAACAAATTCTCAGCAGTATTTGATTTTTGCTCTAGAAATCCTCGCTGAATTGATTAGCATCATTTTTGTCTTTTTCTCTTAAATTATCCTGGAAATTTTTTTTTTTTTTTATTTGGGATTTCCTGGTATTCGAGCTCGCTATTGATTGGTGTTATTCACTAAGAGATTTATGTGATAGGTACCAATCCAACGTTGGGAATTACCGTTAGCATCCGGTTGCAGGGATTTGATTCGTATATAAATATAAAATATAGATATATTTATATATATATTGCCTCTTCCATAATTTCATCTTCATAGTGATAATAATGGATGAAAGAGGAATAGCTGGTTGCATTTTACTGGTTGAACTTGTAACGAATGGTCGGGGAAATGGATTGGTCCGGGGAAGGTATGTTAAAAGAAGTTAAAAATTTGTTTTTGAGAAATCATAGTGTAATATTTCACTTGCATTGCTGAATGGGGAAGAAATTCATTTATTTAATACCGCCACAAATGCAAAACACAAAATGAAGTTTAAATGTCAAATTCACTTCAGGAAATTCCCAAATATCTCGAATGTTAGCTAACAGTTCACCGAGTGTTCCGAAGGGTATAGATTTATTTTTCTTTAGGGTAATTCTTTTTTTTTTTGCTTTGAAGAAATCTAAATTTCTGCGCATTCTATGCATAAGTGGATTTCAATTCATAAAATTGTGTCACAGGAATGAGCGAATCATTTCCGCCCAAATGTATAAATGATCCGCAGAATATAGCGCAACGGGAATTACAACAGCAACAAGACAAACTTTTAGATGAAATTAATGTACACTTGGAAAATGGCTCTTCAACTACCGAAAGAAATGCTTAAATTCGAATGAAAATTCGAAAATCTAATCAAAACACTTCGTGGTATATTTAAATAATATTTCGATGTTTGCAATAAAATTTACTACCTTGAATTACTGATAAAAAACAATGTATCCATAGCAAAAAAATTATGCTAATCAATTTGTACTTTCTTCCATTTCTGGGATTCGAGTTTCACCAATGATTAATGTTTTTTTTTTTCCGTGGATCATAAAATATTCCTGTCTCATGGCTTCAAGATATCTGTGAAGGATTACGTCGGTCGATATCAGTGTTTGAGGAATTTTGGAATTTTGATTAATACGCTTTCAAATCAGTAAGCAACAGAATAAAGCTTGGAGGAAACAAACATCTCATACCTAGAAACTATCTCGAAAAATCCAGAAATGGAAATTCGAATCTGCATAGGTCTAATAATCTATTGAAACACTCTTAATAGAACCAAACGTGAAGAGGACGAATCGGTAGCTGAAGTAATTTCATTCAGTCGATATCCTAGAGCAGGCACAATGGCAATGCCGAAAAATATTCCAGAAAAATTATCCGACAAGGGTAAAATATGGCGGTGCATGATGGAAAAGAGGACCCTGAAAAAAAAGAGAAAGAATATCAAAATTAACACGATTCTTTTTTCCGAAATTCTGCTTTCAGGTCACTTTAAATTTACTTACTTCAATAGTCAATTTACTCGGTCCTTTGTAAATATCGTGCGTTAACTCATGCTCCCAAATACCATCCGGTAGGAAAACACTTCGTGACGTTGCACCTTCAATCAAAATTGGCGCAACGATCATAGTATCATCGATAACAAACTGATCACCAGAACAAAATGCTTCTGGAACTTCCGAAAGCCACCATAGCGGCCTAAAATGCGAGAAATATCACTTTCTCTCTGGAATTAATATCGTACTTTCTTCAGCAAACCACTTAAATATTCCATAGACGAATGATTCGTACGTTATTATAGGAGGATATATTTTTTGATTTCCTAATACAGAACAATCACATTTTGTCATCATAATTAAAAAAATCAATGGAATTAATCGTCATAAATGAACTACAAACCGTATTACAGGTTGACCACTTTTGCAACTTTTCCGGCAAGCTTCAATCAAGAAATTTAATAGCTCATTACGTTTTTTCATAATCCGATGGAATATATCACACATCTCATCGTCGTACTGCCATGGAGGGTACGAAAATTGCATGGATAACAGAAACTCATTTGCCTAAAAAAAAGAAAGTAGTAGTTGAGTACCTTTCAATTCATTTATATTTGGTACAGTTAGCTAAATTGCCAGATAAAATTTCAAGTCATTCACTCTTATCCATAGATTTCCCAAAAATGTGGCGCTAATCATGAAATCATTTTTGACTACACAGAATTCGAACTGCTCATGTTTGCGAACTAACTGATATGGAGCAATATCGTCGTAATTTGTCTGAAATTTCAGCAACTATGTCATTTTAAAATATGAATTCGTCACCACTGCCATACTATGACGAACCTCTTTTCCAGATATAAAATGATGAGAGAAAATTAAATTCCGAGAGCGAAAATTTGAAAACGATGGAATTTGAGAGAAAGAAAGCAGGAAAGACATCCAGCAATTCATTCTTTCCGCAAAACTATGAACGCAAATAAAAGGAAAAAAAGTGATACCTGCATCCAACGGATATACAGTTCTTTACTACATCTTTGGCCACCATATCCATTACCACCTATCATATCCGGTAAATTATAGAAATAACCGTGTAATCCGAAATTAAGTACCACTGGTATTAAAGTGTTTAAACCAATGTTATTCCTAAAATTATGCCTAGTAATATGGATGGTTAAAAATCGTACAAATTACATACTTTTCTTCAAGAAAAAAAGTAAAAAATAAAAAATAAAAGGGAAATGGTTTTATGGCTGGCTACTACAATAGTATCCGGCTATAGCTTAATTTCTTATTTATCATGTACCATTGGTTGTAGAAATCCGAAAAAAAAAAAACAAAACAAAAAAAAAAACAAAGACAAAAGCTATGCAAACCAGGTTGATAGACGATCCATTGTCCTGTAAAATATCGGCAAAGCCTGTGTACGACGAAAAATTCTCACCTGTAATGAATGAATGAAACAAGCGAAAAATTTCATGCTTACATTGTTATTCGATAATTAATAGGAGTATTGAATAGGAATTACTCTTTGTAATTTCATTTTCGTTTTACGAAATTATCAAGTAAATTATTTGGAGGGACATATATTCCTTACTAGAATTGATTCGTTTGAAAAACCAATAATTGCAATATTTTATTTAATTAATCGTTTATAACTGTTCCGATTCATCTAAATTAGTTCTTAAAATTATGCTATGTAATAAGTATATTTGTATATCGAATCAAAAATTCTTTAAATGTTTAGTTTTGAACTATTCCAAATATGTGTTAAAGGAAATTTTGTTTTATATCTTAATGATTTGCATACGTTTACAATTATCATAATATTTTTGAATCAAATCTTTGATATCTTAATATCTCATCTTGGTATCACAATATCTTATCTTTGATATCATAATGTGTTATCTTAATATCATAATATCTATATCTTTGATATAACAATATCTTGAATCATATGTTTCCGGAAAATAAATGAATTGTCATCGAGTATTTATTTCAATGCGTACCTCAATTGAGGATCCAAATGAAGCAGCTGTTCTTACGTAAGCTTCGCAGAAATCATTTGGCGAAGCACCGAAATGTAGACAAACATCTTCTGGAAGATAGGTCACCTCACCTGCATCAAATTTGAATGAAAAAATGCCAAGCTGAAAAGAAGCAAAAGTATCTGGTAACCATACTCCTTTCCGCATAAATTCTCTAACATCAAGAAATACTTTTATAGTTTAATAAAACTTTTATTGCTAATTTATCATTACCTATGGTTTTCCTTTTTATTCCTGCCACTTATTTACTCATTCCGCTACTGTTATTGCTATAAGATCGCATAATTTTTATCGTCATAACTTTCATTATTCGTCGTTATCCGGAATGATATGATTCTTTATCATCCTTTTTCATTATTCTTTTCTCATGGATGTCCTCATTTTATTCATATTTAGGATTATCTTTGATCATCATCTTGGAGAAATTCTCCTACCCTTTACTATTTTCACAAAACTTGGCTCAATACTCTTTCATTTCATTAGCAATATAGCAAGATTAGTACAGTAAGATCAATTTCGAAAAATCTTACTATTACCTTTTTGATTTTTTCCAATTGTTCACAAAACCAGTGCACCGCTTCAGGATTTGTGAAATCGATCACATAGGCTTGTCCTTGCCACCATTCAACGATTCCGGGTTGACCACTGGAATCTTTCACAAAAAAATGCCGTAATGCCGGATTATTTCCATTGTCACTAACCAAATTGACAAATGGATGGATCCATAGAGTTAAGCGAATTTTCCATTGATCGAGTTGCCTGCACATACCTTCGACATCCGGGAATTTGGTCTTATTAAACTAGAATGCAAATAACATTAAAATGAAACTGCTAAACCAAGCAAATATTAATAAACATTCAATGCTTTGATTTCAGATTTTTTGCAATCTCAAATTTATGAAATTAAAATTTAAGAAAAATTTCAAGCAGAAAACCCAAATTAAAATGAAATTAAATAAATAATCTAAATTGAATTACAAAATAAAGAAAAAAATAGACCTCAAAATCGCCATAACATGTGGCCCAATTATCATCCAACTCAAGCTGGCTGATCGGAGCATGATTATTTAGAATTTCTTGAGCAAATTCAAGCACATCATACTGAGTTACTTTCTCCGAGTACCTTCAATTATAACTATAAAAATTGATATCCATTGTCAGAATCATAGAGATATTTCAGACGTCGAATATGGATAATTTTTAGACAAATAAAGACAATTGAATTGCTAGGTAAATAAGATTAGATGATTATACGAAAAGATATATGTTATTATATCTTTTCTTTTTTTTCTAATTGTTACCTTGCCCAAGTTGACCAAATAGGCTTACGAATCAATGCTTCATCAGGAATAGTTGTACATGAATCGTATAAATTTTTATGAAGAAGTACGTGAAATTCACGTAACGTACAGCGTTTTGCTACAAATATTGAATAGGAAAGAGTTGGTGCAACAGTATTAGCCTGAAAATGAAGCTTTTTTTCTGGACCAACAGTTTAGTCTTATGTATTTTTTTTAATCTGAAATTTTAATATCCAGAAATTTCAAAGTTGAAATTTAAATATAGCAAAAAAGACTATTGCAGCTGCTTAAACGTTTTTCTTACTTAAGTCTTAAAAGTGTATATGCATAGTAAAATAAACTGTAAATCTATTGAACAACCTAAATTCTTATTTTGCTTACATCGTGATGAAAATAATCATAGTGAACTACCTAGAGAAATCTTTTTTTTTTTCCCAAATTTTAAACAATTTCAATCCATATTTTTGGTTTCTTTTTTGGATAATTTCAATTTCTCTCTTCCAAAAAATAAAAGAAAAAAAAAGAAAATGTATATACATATAACTTACAAAGAAACCAACGTAAGGAGAATTATCAAATTGTGCTTGAAGCGAAAGTTTGCCACAGCTATACGCCGTCCAAAGTGGTATCACATCTGGGACAAAAATGGCAAATTTACTGGAACACAACCAGTACCGTTCCATTCCAGAGGAATTTTTTGCATTATCATGAAAATAGCAAAATTAAGCTATTTTTAGAAAAGATTAAAAACGAGAAAAATCCTTTCTTACAATGCGATACAAACAAATAATTGCAAAAATTGTTTGGAATTTTAAATTTGAAAAATTGAAATAAATTTTTAGTATTATTTTTTATAATATTCTTGAAAATTGAAGGCAAAACAAAAATGGTTAATGGAAAAAAAAAGAAAAATGAAATCTATAATTACCTTTAGTGTATCCGATGGTACATATGGTGAAAAATGTTGCATAGTTTCAGCTAATGGCCAAGTTTGTTGAGCTACTTGAGGTCCACCATACCACTGGCTATTTGTATCAGCTTGTATTATATCTTTCATATAATGATAATCTCTGGTACTTAACCATTCTATGTCATATTTTTCGTATAATTCTTCTGTTGCATCATATTTAATTATCAGTTCAATTCCATTATCAATTTTAACTGTTATCAAATTATCATTCATAGTATATTCTTTTATTTGTATAGTTTGATCAATAATAGCACAGCCAATATTCACTGTTAATGTTCGTTTAAATTGTTGCTGTTTTGTTGTAGTAAGATTAGTTGCAGTAATTGTTGAATTATGATCATCAAATCGATCGATTGAAAATAAACGTTTTGTAAAATCAAATTGTAAATTACCAATATGTAATGGTATTGTGGACATTTTGATTAATTTATTAGCATATATTTGTCTGAAAGTAATATTAAGAAATTTTCGTAAATTTCAAAAATTCCTAAATAAAACTTCAACAATTATTAATTTAAAGTTACACTGTAAAGAGAGAAGTATGAAAGAAGTTATAAAATACAACAATCTCAAACATTAATTACTATGGTAAATTGGATGATTAATTATTTGTATCATTGTAATTGCAAGAGAGGGAGAAGCATTATGTATGTTATGGGACACGTATGTCACGTGACATTTCGTTTTAATTCATACAAAAATAAGTTTAATGAATGCAGTTAAACAAGATATAAATTAAGTAATTTCAAGACAAATTAGTTAACTATAGGCAAATTAGATGACTAATTATAATGTCTGTGTCATCGCTTTGAAAGTAGATTGACTTTCTCTCGTATACAACATGATTTTATTTATAGCATAATTCGAAAGGATCGTAAATTTATGATTAATTATGACGAAAATTGTAATGGTTTGAGTTTGAAATTAAAAACTGAAAGAAAAATCTAACAATGGTGGAAAGGTAAAAATGATTAAATGTCAAATAAAGATCTGAAAATGCTTATGCATGAGGATTTCCATTGAACAATGCGATAAGTTAAATAACGAATTCTAAAATTCAAAAAAAAAAAAGAAACTTGATTTATGAATATACGAATATATTTAATTGGAAATTCGGGGTGAACATAATATATGCTGCATTAAGCTTAATATTTCCTCATCACTTCATCTCTACGGAATACTATGAAAATGAAAGTTTGAGAATTGTCATCGATCACTAATCGTAATGCAACTTTGGAATAATTAATCTTGTCCAATTTTAAGTTCTGCTTAAATTAACATACTCCTGAAAACCATTTACAACACAAAATTTGGAAAGGAATTTTTTCTCGTAGAGACAAATGGTTTATATTTCGCTCCTTAACTACTCTCTATGGGCCATATTTTTACTTTTGCTCCGTGGAGGTACTTTCTGGCTTTCTAAATTGGTACTGGATTGAGGAGGGGTGAAGTTTTTCTGAAATTTAAATTTTGTATAGGAAAACTATTCATTGCCATTTCATTCCAGAATAAAGAGAGTGCTTCGAAGTAATGGCGTCTGATTGATGTGAGGGAGAAGCTGAAACGAAGAGGACGATAGTATAAGATGAAAGTGAAATGGCACGTTGTTCTATTATTCTGTTCACAATGCTATACAAATATTGTAAAGTATACAAATATTGATTGATTTTAATAGATGCTTCATTGTTTACAACTTATAAATAAGAATTGATTTACTAATTTATTTATTTATTCTACTGTATGGAATGTAGTATTATGAATTCCTTCCGTAAATAATGGCAAATAATTTTAATAAAGCATGAAATTACTGTAGTTTACATTTTGCTCAATTTACAAATTGTTTGTTTATCCGACCTATCGTGCCAAAAAGACTTGGAGAACTAAGATTGAAATAGTTTAAACAGCATATTTGCATGATTTTCATTATAGGTTATTTACAAATAACTTCAATAGATATATATTAAGATTGAAGAAAAGTTTAAATTGTATTTCCCACATGCAAAATAACTTACAACATTTCAGGTAGTTTAAGCTTTTGATTCCTTATTCATTTAGCCAATTTTTTAGTAATTTCGAATTCAAAACGGCAATTCTGAAATTTTTATTATTCATTAAACGAATTTTTTGAATGCTTTTTCAGTTGTAGTAATAGTCGTATGAACAAATCCATGAATTTAAAATTTAACAAATTTTTTCTTTTTAGGTTGTGAGTGTAGGACCTCTAATGTATGGAAAATACTAACGAACATTGTAGTAAAAAGGAAAATGAATTAAGTAAATGTGGGGATCCATCGAGTGGTAATATCTGTGCTGTACGAGAAGCGAGTAATGTGATACTATTGGTATCGAATAGCTCGAAAACCGGCAAATTCATTCAAACATTATGGTATTTGAAACATATTAACAGTACAATTGCAGTCGGAACATCAAACAAAGTATTACTTCATAGACATTTGATGGTCCTTTTATCTTTTGCTTTTCTTTTGAGCCATTCGGGAAACCAAAGTATAAATGTTTATGCTATATCGTTCGAATTATTTTTTGGTTTAAATTATTGCAAAGTAATATGCAAAATAAGGAATCGATAACGCAAAGCAGTTCCTTATTCTTTCTGTTGAGAAGTTGAAGATTAACGAAATTTTACAAGTGCAATGAATCACAGTCGATTAAATCAAGTCGCAGTTGTTTAGTCCTGACGAAATTAATGATAAATCTTTTAATCATTATTACTAGTGCACGGGACTGCATAACAGGATAGCATGATAACTTTCAAAACATGTATTGGTTACTTTATTGGAAAGCAGATATACTCTTCATAAAAATAATTTATCTGAATAATCCAGTGTATGAAAGAACATAATTAGTTTGGAAATTGTGAAATTATGAATTTATATGTTGCGGCCATTATATGATAAGGTTAACAGATTTCATCATTTAAGGACGAGAATGAAATAGAGATTGTGAAAATCAGTGCGCGGGATGGTGGTGAAGTGCACGATGATGAACAATTGCTAGTAACAAGCAACACATTGATATCATATATTGTTCGAAGTTATCGTTTTGTTTTTGTCATTGATATCAGTCCATCCACTTTTATCGTGGTTCGTTTTTCTTTTTCAGAGCAGATAGGATGGAAGTTTTTGAAGTTTTTAGAATCAAGTTAACTTAATTTGGCCGTATACTATTAAATTGTGGTCACTTATGCTACTAAATTATACTACTAAATTGTGATCAATGCTACTAAATTGTAGGCTACTAAATTATGATCAATTATTCAGATCGATTTCTGCGATATCGTTACGAAAGATTAAGAGGGAACACGGAGAACAAAATTATTATATTTTGCCTCAATATAAATGAATTCAGTTCTTCCCCTACGCTCACATATCAGTCATTTGATTATTTTATAGGATGGCACAACAAGTTGCGTACCGCATTCAAAAATTATCAACCGACTACGACAGTGTCTGGAAGGACTTCTTATGGAAGGAAATTTTCTACCAGCAGACAAATTTTCGCCCGAAATATTTATAACGATTTCTTTCTATAGTCCATTTATTGCTTTCGATGAGGATAGAGTTAGTGATTAAAAATTTTCGCTTCGAAATTTTAAAGATTATAGTTGAAGAAGCGCCCGTAAACCAATAACAGTTGCATAAAGTAGCATTTGTACAACCTCTCGAGTTGCCTCAAGGTGTCATTTTGACTTACGACTCGGATCCTAAACTAAAACGTGACTTCAATTATAAAGGGAATGCTTTATTAACCTTTTGTTAGATTGTTATGGGCATTATTAGCTTCTTCTTATTATTTGATAGTGACGTAAGAAAGCTCTTAAAATCAAAAGAAATATGAATATGAATATAGCGGTAGAATGAAAAGGCAATGTACTGTAACTCGCATTATCGATAATTTGCAGTGAAAAATTTCGATATGGTCGATGGGTCTTTTTCTTTTTCAAATTGGTAAAAGTTAGTAGTTTTTGTAGGTTATTCTGCAAGGCTGTTTACTTACAAAGAAGAACATTGGTTCTGTTCTACAATATATCCAAGAACGGTTTCATTTGTTTTCCAATAGACTTTGTTGGACGATGCAGCCTCATTTGAGAAGATGGAATCAAGAACGAAAAAAGTTGGAGCAGGTAATGGTAATCCTTGTGTATTTCAACTCCCTCTGAATAATCTTTCTTTTATCCTCACAAAAAATTGAAAAATTTCTACAAAATATTTTTTCTATTTCTGCCATAGACCACGTTTTCATTTGATCGTACAGCACCAGTAAACCAGTAACACCGTTCTACGATCTTTTACCTAAAAATTGATTACTTAAGGAGTATATTAGAAGAAATCACGAAAAAATATCTCATTTTTCACTTCAAATCTCAAATTTCGAAATATATCTTAAGAATAAACAATGAAATGTAATACAAATTTTATTTGCCAATCAAAAACCATGCTACAACGAACTGCAACGTTGAATCACAACATTCCGTAATGCATGGATAATTGCAGAGAGCCGGAGATCTTCTGCCGGAAAATTTCTTCCGCCAACAGCTCCATGCAACAGATGGATTCAGGGATTCGATACACGGCCTGCTGACTGCGCAGTTGGTTTTCACTTTTTCTGATAAAAAAATATTTTGATAGAATAATTGGTAAATTTTATTCTTTTAGATGTTCGTTGTTTAACATTAGAAACATCTGAAAGATTTGTATTTAAAAAAATTATCTTCAGAAGTTTGCTTTAACGGCAGTTTTTTGAATAACACATTACAGTAGTGTATATTTTATGTACTTGTCTTTGTAGGATGACTTCTCGGGCTGGTCCTGCTGATGAAGGATTCATTAACTCAGAATGGTCATTAATGTTTATGTTACGAATTGGTCTTATCGGTTTGCAGTTACTACCGGACACAGCGCAACCGAGTAAGACATAAATAATAGTAGTCTTTGCTTACATAAGCAAGAATGCTTTCAATTATGAAAGGAAGCTTCATGAACCTTGCATTCTTGTTTAATTTCGTATTTTTTGTGTGATTCATTTCCTGAAACTTTGCAAAAACCTTGACATCAAAGATAGTTCCATTCATTTTTCCTATCGAGATTCATATGAATGTAAAGCAAAATACATGCCATTCAAGTATTGTAATTTCAAACTCCCAATTCTACTTTTCCGTTCATTCCTACACTTTTTTGCATAAAAATCTTTCCAGATATAGTACTAATCACGGATGCAGTGTGTAATGTGACGGATATACGCGTTTTGCAAAAACTGATGGTACAACTGAGAAATTACTCTATTGCTTGTTCATTTGTACAGGTAGCATGGATTTTCTAATAAAGATTTTAAAATGAACGTAAAATAAGTCTTGTTTGTCATCTGCTGGCGTTTACTGAGTTAACTGAGTTTAATATTTCACAAGAATATCTGATAAAAATTGCTAGATTTCGGGTGCAGAAGTGTCGTTTTACAATACGAGAAGTTTCATTTGGTATACGTTTCAAAACTGAGTGTAGTCTGTGTTTAATTGCTTTTCTTCTCTTTTATTAAATGTGAATTTTACATTTATCATTGAACCATTTAAGATTCAAGGAGACTACAGTACAAATGCTGTATTTGGACATTTTTCATCACCCGGATTTTTTACCTTTCTTGCGAGAGGAACATCAGGCGTCTACATACCGGACGAATACCAAGCTACTGCAGATGTGAGTTTCAAAATTAAAAGAAAAATTTTTACATATACCACTTAAATTGTATTCTTGTTTCTCATTTCGTTATTCTTGTTACTGAATATTTATTTATGCGGAAACAGTATTATCCCTCTTTTTTCAGAGTGTTCTTAACCCACTTGTGAGTCGACCACTTTTATGCAAGAATCTTCAGCTGTTGGATACGGCAGATGATTATATCAAAGATCTAATTTATCAGATTAATCCTGAATTTGTTGAACCATATACTTGGTATGTATTTGCCCACACTTTCCTAACTTACAAACTTCAGCCTTTCATTTAACAAAAAGAAAATTGATGTTTTATCCGGAACTTCACATAAATTTTTCAGCTTTTAATGATATTTTTTATGTTTTCCAATAAACTTTATTTCTTAAAAAAATTTCTTCAAATCATATTGATTATTTCAGTGGTGTTATTCGTCGAGTGCATTACACTGTGGAATATGAATCATGTTTGGAATATTTTCTACGATTACGGCTTTACGAAGGTTTTATTTTGCGTGATTTGAAAGTATTAAAAAAAAGCGAAGATCAATCGTCGATATTGGTGGAACTGAGTCTACCTTGGAAACCACAAGTAACGATTGGTTATAGAATTTGTGCATTCTCCGAAAATTTTAAAAAAAGGTTTGTTTTAATGCTACTATTTTCCGAATTATCATCTTAAATTTCTCGACAACTCATAATAGATATTATTAGCATTCAAGTCAATTTCATTCCCAAATTTTTGGGATTCGTTAATGATTTCCGTAGTTTTTTAAGACGTTTTACTATGAGTAGTAGCTTCTCCAAAGTATTCATATGTAATACGCATTAGGTAATGATTATGTTAATGATTAACTTCTAATAAATGTACAGTGTACTGATGATTGAAGAAATATGTGAAGGAGACCAAATCCTACTTATTACATGACCATATATACATTGGATAAATATTTTTCAAAAAAGAATATAAACTTATTCGTGGAATACTTAAGTATTATAGAACAAAGTTGAAAATAACGGTGATATGTGAGGCACAATACGGTATGATACGGGATCTATTATCCGATCGTTGTTCCATAAATACAACAAAGCAAACTTTTGCTGATGCATATCGACATACCATTTTCGGGTCAGCTTTTCTTTGTTTTTTCCTGAAACATTTCTTGTTTTACAGCAAGATATTTGCTAGTATAAAAATTGTGTTCGAGTGATGCGGGATATTAAGAGAATATTATTTACCTACCCAGTTATTTGTTTGTTGTTTTTTTTTTTAAATTACTGCTGTTGTCAGATTGCTTGAAGCTGATCGTATGCTAATTCATGTTTATTCATTCAACTCCTTGCCTGATCTTTTTCTTCTTCCGCCCGAAGTATTAAGGGAAAAGTCGCTCTTTCGTTATGTTATGAAAGAAAACAAAGCCGTGTTGGCAATAAGTGCCAGGTAAACTTAACATCTTAACTAGGTTACATTCTTGATTAAATTGAAAATATTTAACTATCTGAGTCACGGAATTTTCGCTACGTGGATTATCCCGTTAAATGCAACGTCTTTCCTAATTGAGGCATGGGAGCGGAATTACGTAATCACCACATACACTTCGAAACTTTCCCATGTTTTATGCTTTTTTAGATATATCTCAGATCAGCTCATTTTGACTGATTTTTCAATTTGGATTTGTTATTTCTTTTGCAGGGAATTAGAAACTTTATGCGCGCAGAATATTACCGCAGCAAATTTTGTCGACTTTTGGCGGATTATAAGTGAATTTGAAGAGCGACATTGGTAAAAATACAGTATGTTGGAATAGTGAATGTTTTCGGAGTAGAAGCTAATTAGGTGAATTTGAAGCAGTTAGCGAGACAGTCAGTAATATGGGTCCATTTGATAGCGAGATGGCAAAATGATACGTTATCTAGTGTCCTTTTTTTTAGATCGCAAAAAGGAAAGAAAAACAGTCATTTCTTATCAGCTTTAATGGGATTAACAAGTAAAGATTTGACCAGACTAACTTGTCTGTCATTAATGTTGATTATAAGTGAATGAATAAGTATGAGCCAAACTGTTGATTAAGTGTTTCTCGAACTATGCAACTGAATGAATGTGATTCGCTCCAAGTAGTTTTGCTCTATAGAAAATCTTGCATCTATTCAAAGCAATCAATTTTTTTACTCTTCTATAACTTTTCATAATTTTTACTTTTTCAGGCAAAGTTGGTCACAAGTATTCACTTTTCGTATAATTCTTACTCATGATCATCCGTTACCTCCACGGCTATTTCTATTCGAGGAGCCGAATGTAAAAGTTACTTCGCAGCTTGCATTAACAGTATTCTATGATATGCTCGCTCAGATGACAACGTTTTCACTTATTCATGGACAGACTTATGTAAAGTTTGTTGGAGGGTTTGTCTTTTGATCTTTTATTATGTAAATGTTTCCTTCATTTCTAGTAAGCCAAGAGATTGGTCAAACCAGTTGGCTTCATAACTGAGTTGTAGACTTCTTTACGAAGATCCAAGAAGTACACTGACATTCTTCCCTTTTAATTCCAACTATTTTCGAGTTACGTCCAACTTGCGAAAAGGTAGTCGTCATCTCCATAATCACATAGGCGAAAATAAAATATCTGGACAAAATTGTGTTTTATGTAGACAGAATCGTGTTTTAGAATTTATAAATTCTCGCTTATAATTGTGTTCGATTCTTCTGTTTCAATTTCATATATTTTCTATAAACAAGTTGAAATTTTTCTTTTGAACTCTATAATGCTTCCTTTTTTTTCCTTTCAGTGATAATGATGGTATTATTCCGAAATCATTTTATATTGTCAAATTAAGTTTAGAGACTCAGTTGGTCGTGGTCAAACTTGCATTTCTCAATGGTCTTACAGTTGTATTCAGAGACAAAGTAACATAAAATCTCCATTTTTTAATATTTTTAAAGAAATGTTGTTCCTGATATTGTTATTCATAGCTATAACTAATAAGAGACCAAAAAGCACTTCAAACATAAAAGGCGAAGAGATTTGAATTGCATAACCATTGCACTAATTGAGCAAATTGTTCTCATATTCAAGTCTCCTTGATCCCTTAGTAATATTAACTTCTGGCTGTTTTAAGAATGTTGTAACATCATGATTAGCAAATGCGCTATTTTAAGTGATTCTATTTGGATAATTTTAAATGACGTTAGTTTTTGTAATAATGGACATTTTTTTGATGCCTACCTATATCACTTCTATTTACCATTTTAAAGAAGGTATGACGTCACTTGATAAAATTGCATTACAATTCGAAATTCCTCTCATTCCAGGTGATCAGGGAATTCCTAGAAAACTTTAGTTCATTGTCTGTTGAACGGACCTGCTTTTTCACAAAAATGCTCGAGTTTGCTGATGTTGGAGATGACTGTGCCACAGTTGCCGAAACAATGGTAAATATTCACCTTGAAGATAAAATAGTGTAAGATTTTAGTCACAAACTCTACCAGTTACAAACACTTTTAGCAATTGCCGGCATTGACTATTATTAACCGTCCACTGGAAATTATGCTTGCACGCTACAAGAAAATTCCGGTTGCATTAGATCGAATTATACGATTGGAAAAAACCGCTGAAGCAAATCGTGACCTGATACTGCACAATTCACTTGCCAAATATTTTTGTTGCAAGTAATTTTTTTCGGTTTATTGTCGATAGTGGTATTAAAAAAGACAAGCTCATAACCACATACTTATTTAGTTTAGAAAAATTGAATTTGGGAGGTTCTGAATTCATTTTCTTTATAGAAATGTAACACATTGGTGTAGTCATTTTTTTAGCCTTGAGATTGGTCATTTTGTTCTAGATGATATTTGTTTGCCAAATTTATAATTTTGTGAAAAATTCGTGTTTTCAGGATGTGACGGAAATTTTTCACATGCACTGAAATTCGTTCAATTTTTCAATTTTTTCCAAATTTTTTCGAAAATTTTATAAAATTTTCAGACGTTATATTTGGTATTTAAAGAAAGCATTTCCGTTATCATCAATCGTCAGTTGCACTTATGCGGATTTTATTCTTCATACTATTTTGCAGTGAGCAATGTTTTTATTATCTTTTTGAAGTCAACGATAAAGATTAGTTGTTATGAGATGTTAAATTAAAGAGTATGGAAGTAGGAGTCCTGCTACCTGGGTTACTCCTATAGACGGCAGTTAATTACTATTAGCTGCAGGTAAATGTTTTGGTAACATGCAAAATGTAAAGAATTCAGGAGACGTCTGAATGAAGGATTTCATATAGTATATGGCGATAATGGGATAGTTAACCTTGTTAAGCATATAGATGGCATGGAACAACAGCTGCATTGTGGTCCAGCTTTGCTTCAGTATATCATCTTTCCACCAACAGCCATTCGACCAATGCGATTTATGAAAGAACATTTGGAAAAAGTACCATCTTTACCAAAGTAATGTTTCGGGAAATTTAAGATGATCTACAAAATCTACAGTAAACACTTTAGTCATTGTACGGACTACCAGTAGTGTCATGTTATCGAAATGATACTTTTTTAAAGCTTTGGCACAGGCTGGGAATATACTTTTGTTCGAGGGCAACGAAAATCATTTTGATCAGCAGTTAAATCGAATAGTGCAGGTTAAAGGTTGGATTGGTATGTAGTATTTCATCGCTATTAGACAATGTAATGAATGTGGGGCGATTCTAGCAGAATATGAGAATATCCTTAGAAGCTTGAGTGTGAGACTGATATTGACGACCAACATTTGATTGGTGAAGTTGGGTCTAAAACCACTTTTATTAAATTTTGTACTATGTTACATTTTGCAGAACCGTTAGAATACGGGGAGCTGGAACGAAAAAAACAGTCCCGGGTGAGAATTCCACATTGAAAAGTGACCTCGATTTACAATTAATGACAGAAATGTGGTCAGAACCGCTTGCCATCATTGATCCACAATATGTTACATGGGGCGGAATTATCCAGCAGCAAGTAAGTATTTCAAATAATTTATTAAGCAACATTTTGTACGCATAGATGTATATGATCGGTTTTTTTTGCACTCAAGTAACAACCGTTCTAAAGTATCATTTTTCACTATGTGAAACTCTTCCAAATCAAATATATACGCAAAATGTTTTCCAAATAAACAATTTTCCTTTAATAAGCTAGAAATGCTCTCAGAATTTTTGTTTAGTCAAAAGCGAATTTTTTTGTTGCGATAAAAATGTATGCCATTCATGCTTCGTTATATGCTTTAATTATCAGGTTACTTATTTGTATTCACCATAAGAAGTAGCTGTCAGATTCCCACTGCATCATGCTTCTCTGAAGTTCTGAATTTCTTTTTATCTATATAGAAAGCGGAGTCTGTCTGACCTTCATTCCAAATATTTATGAGATATCGAGGTTAATTATCCAACAGAAGGGAAGAAGGGAAAGCTGGCTGTTTATGCTATGTGAGTCGTAAATACACCTTTTTCCTTTTAGAAGCCCTGTACGTTATGGTTGAATCACTGAAATTATTTTTATTTTGTCTTTTAACGGTAAATGTCGGAAAAAAGTATCGCAAAAACATTCTTTCCAACACTTATCGTTTGAATGATATTCTTCTGTTTGCTGATATCAAAATACCATCATCGAACACAGACAGCTTGTCTGATTTTAAAACCTGAAGAAATGCTTTTTTTCTTTACCATGTCTGACCATTCCACTTTCATGATTTACAACCTTTTCTCAAGTCTGTTCGTTTTTTTTTTTCCTCTTCTTATCAGGTGCTAACGTACTTCAGGATTTACCTTCCTCTAACAAGCACTTTTAGGAAGGACGAGAAATAGATATACATTAGATACATTTTGAAAATGTGCACTGTACGAATGAAAGGAGTTTTGCTGATAAGTTGTTCTTCATGTTATCTTTTTGTTATTTGCTGAAGACGCTGATAAGTATGGGGAACCAGCTGAAGCTCATTTCTATTTCATACGGAATGAACATCTTTCCTTATCTTAACGTCCACCATCTTCCTTCGTCGGTTTCATAACAGACAAGTTTGTGTCAGTCGGTGGTTGGGTCTTAGGCATAGTTAATTCGCTTTTTTCGATGCTGCCAGATCTGTCCTTCGGCTGATATCGGCTTGTTTGATTGCATATTTTAAATCCATTGCTTTTTCCATGGAAGTATACTGGGAAACCATTGCTTGGATACCTCCACCAGTCCGTTCTGTAAAAATTAATTCCCTCCATCATTGTCATCCTTTGAAATGAAAATGCTTAATCGATAATTTTCCAAAACTTGCGGCGGAAACGACATTCACAACTTTATAAAGCTGCTTTGAGTTTCATTATTCGAATTTTATTCAAACTGTTACACTGAAGCCCAAATTGTTTTGGACGGTCACGAAAGTGGAGGGTAGGATCTGCACTTAACGTTTCAAATCAGTGAGATTCTTATTCCTCCGCTTACATGCCTGTTCTCTATTGGCATTTCATTGCAGGTCGTCTATAACTTCGCAAATTTTTTTGCAGTGAAAAGAGATTCTCATTAAAGGTCTTTTCATTATGTCCATCATGATATGTTTCATTTATGCAAAAAATAGTATCTTTCGAGTCGAATTCCTAATTGAAATTAGAATTCAGATCAGTTGAAATTGTGCTTGAAATTAAACATCAGCTTATGCAGAATCAATTTGCTTTCGGACCGTGACACATCTTTATTAATCAGGGCAAGAACTATGATATCAATAAATTTTTGTTAGAAATAAATTTGTTTGTCACTATATCATAAATAATCGTACGTCGGAAATCGACGAACTGTTGGAAAGCATGTTCTTCATGTTACTGATCGTGAGAACATTTTTTCAACAGAAAATTATCAATGTTTTTATAAAGTACCAAGAGATCAAGTGCAACTTCTGAAATAACTTATGAAGCAGTCATAATGCAATTCATTTAACTTTTGAAGCGTTGATTGTCTGACTGTAGTGGGCTTTGAAGTGAACTTTCAAGTGATGCTAATTGCAGCAGTGCAATTTCCTATACATCTTATCGATTTACCAAGAATATTTTTCAAATGTAATGAATTCATCGGATTCGAAATTACCGGAGATCTGTTTTGATAGATCACTAAACATTGTCGAAACGTTTTCCTGCTTCAAATTAGGCCGTGGGAAATGCTTTGAAGCTTCTTGATCCGATCATTAGAACGTTATAGCCAATTGTCGTATACAGTCCTCTTTCTGTTCCACGCTATACTTCGCTCAGGAAATGGTTCGCTGCTATCGGGTACAGTAAAAGATTTAAAATAGCAATTTTGATTGTCGCTTGACTAATGTGGATTCATTTATTGATCTTTTTTACCTTTCCTATTCTCTTCAAATACGAAATAACCACAACTGGATAACAGTGCTCCACATGCAATTAGTTTTAAAAGGATTAGCTTTGAATACTCAGTGTTGTTCATTATCAGTTCTAATGACGGATTATTACGTTCTTCATCTTGAAGGATTTAGTCTCCTTCAAAGCCTTCTTTAATGGTCAGTACACTATACATTTATTAGGAGTTTCTGGATTAAATGTTGTTGATATTGCGAATTCTTCGCTACTTTTCCATCCATTTCCAGCTAACATAAACAAATTGTTTAGTTCCTTGTCTAATGTCATTTCCTTCAGCAAAAGCAAATCATTAGAAAAAGAAATACAGTTGACAAATGAACACTAAAATGATGTTTAATATAAATAATCTTATCAATGTAATAATACATTGCAATATGAAACAACAAATTGCAACCAATTAAAACTCGCAATTGCTTTTGTTTCAGGCTACTATAATAGTAAGTTTTTCCTATGATAGATGATAGATGTTTTTCTTAATACTGAAAATAATTTCTCGGGACGTCATTTGAGAAATATGCAGCAGCAACGGAATCTTTGAAGCAAAAAAAGAAACCAAGCTTGATATGTTAGGCCGACTAATTAGTTTTCCTGCAGACTTCTGAAAAACATTTAGTTTATTGCATGTTAATTGACTGTATTAAAGGATTTTTGGGAAAATATCATTTGAAATAGAAGCTAATGTTTGTCAAAAACTTAATGATATGAAATCGAAAGAGTAGTTTGAGAAAGGAAGGTGCGGACGAAGAAGATATGATTATCTTACATTACAGAAATATTTTGAAATACTCGATGTCATAGAAGAGATAAATTCAATGTATATTCTTGCAGAGAAGAATTAAAAATTCTTCAAAATATATATATTCAAAACATTTTTTTCTCTAAAATTGCAATTCTTCAAAATTGCAGATTCGCACTACAGATGAAGATATCATCTGCACTTTATCAACATTTGATCAGGTGATGTCTCTATGCACCCAACATTATTCATGCTCACATGTCACACTTGCCGATTGCGAAAATAGCTGGGAATTTTTGAAATGCGAACATCTTTCAAAAAATGTGGAAATTATGCATAATTGTTTTTGTTTACGATCACTGCTTAAGAATGCGACAGAACGAGAACTTTTATTGTTACCCACGCTTAGTTATCGTTAGTAAATTATCTTTATGGCCTACCTAAGTTAAAATTTCAATAAATATTCATCGGAGGTGTAGCTTACTAAAGCATGAACATGGACACAATTATTGATTAGTTTGTTCAGGTGTTTACCAGGAAATTACACAAAAGTGAGCGAGAAATATGCTATATCTAACTATGACTGAATGAGTTAAGATTTTTTCGACCACTTTAAAATTCACTTAATGTTTTTTCCAGCTCATTTGGGAAGACTATAAAGCAAGTTTTTAGAAAACTTACATTTGCAGAAAACGATGATCCACCGAGCAATATTCGCTTACGAATTCTTCTCGAAAATTTGCATTGTGAATTGGCCAAAGCAAGTAATGTTACAATAGAAGTGGGAAATCCGAATTTTTGGTTGGAAATTACCGCTGGTATCGATCATTCAGTTCTCAGAAAGCATTCCACTAAGGATCATCAAAAATCAAGTAATGTGGATGATGGAAGCTTTTGCCCTACACGCGTTTACGTTTCACGGCTTTCACCATGGCGTGCTGTTATCATTGTTCTACTAGTAAATCCTCAACATATACTAATGGCAACTTCTCTCATCGCGCCGACACTACCGCTTCTTATTTTTCATTGTGATGAACCATGGATAGCTCATCATTTGGCTCGAAGCGAGCCATGGCGATGTGAGACATATGTATCGGATCATCGTACCAAAAGCCCAACTTCAACATTGGCACATTTGAATCGACAGATACGGAAAACTGAAAATTTCACAAGTAATTATATCTTTATTTGAAATTAAGCATTAACAATATGATATACAAACACCACCGAATTATTTCCATGAAAACAAATTTTGAATCGTTAGTCTTAGAAATGACTTTACAAAATCCTTCGATGAATATAATTTGGTCATTTTAATTATCGCGACTTAAGGTTATAGCAGTCTAATGACTCTATTTGATTTGAAATAATTTTTATAATGTTACGTGAATTTTTGAATTTACAGTAAAAAATTCAGAAATGATAAAGAATGAATTGGAATTACATTGGTTGTCAATTTCTCGGATTAGTCCAGCCGAAAATCGTGTTCATACATCTTTTGACTTACACTCTTACTGTGAAGCTATCGAGGACCAACTGTTTTCTCGAGCACTTATTGGAGCGGTATATCACTGTTTGTTACAAGGTATCTTATTTTTATCATCATGTAATCCGAGGAAATTGTCGATGATATTTAAGGCATCCTAATAATGTCTCTACCTTTAGAAGAGAATGCTCATCTTCACACATTAGTTTACCCATCTTTAGATATCATTTGAATGAAAATACATGTAACTCATGTCATCTCTTATTCATTTTATTCCACTTCTTTCCATGTTAAAAATATGAATCACTCTTATAATCAAGAATTGAGAAATGGAGAGTTGGAATCAAGAAGCGAAATGTTTAAATACACTTTGTTTCCTTGATTTTGAACTATAAGCTTTTAAGAATTGAACTTTAATTATCAGGTGTTCATATTCCGTACGAAGATTTGGTGGAAGTGTTGGAAGATCGTTGCGAACAATCGGATATCGAAGTTGAGGGCATCGATGAGTGCGTCCGTTTCCTATGCTCTCATGTTGCAAATATACGTAAACAGGTTTGTGTCAGGTTTATGCTGTAACTGGTATATATTCTAGCTAGAATATAAAATTTTCAAAAATTTAAAACGAGTCCTCCTTGTCACTGGCTTATAATAGTTACAAGCACGGTTTCCTTAACACTGACCTCATGGAAGCAGCCCAATGCGACTCAGTGTATATATAGGTGATCACTTCCAATTTTCAGCAAACAAGAAAAGAAATGTAACTCTATTACACATAATATCGACTATGCAAGTCGCAAATAGATTATGTAATTCATATGAATGAAATTATATGCACATTTCAATCCATGATTACTCAAGATAATGTTTTAATGCATGATTTGATGCATTTTAGATGGGAGATTCGGCAGCGGATGCGGACGATGAGACAAGAAGCAATGATTTCTTCAAGGATGATATTTCATACCGGTAAATAACTCGCTGATGAATTCTTAATTTTTCATTGTATTTCAAATCAGAAACCACGCCATGAATTTCAAATAGTGATATGATAGATATAGAAATGTTAAAATATCGTCACGTTTGCCAGTGTTTTTCGTTTCATTTGAAATATCTAAATAATTTTGCAATCTAATTCAATTTCTCCAGATTAAATGATGGAGATGGGAAGTCCTGTGAGGAAGAACAAGAAGATTTTCGATTCGCATTTGATGAGCTTCTTTCACAGAATTTCCGGTTCAGTTCAATTATTTTATATTACTAATGTAACGAACAAACTAAGCGAAGTTTAAATTGGGAATTTTAACTGTAGACACCGAGGAATTCGCTCAGAATGATGTTTCATATATGTTTAAATATTTCGCTTGCTTTATCGAATGCGTTTGCTATGTAACTATAGGTAGACTTGAAGTAAACTGCTAGATTTGCATCTACTAGAATGCCAACAGAAAAAAGGAGCAGTTGCTTTGGAATAGGGATGATTCATTGGTAAAATGCATATTTTTAAACTTGACTTTTAACTTGTTGAATCATTTCAACAAATTTTCTCACAAGATACTGCGTGTTGAGTTAAATACTATTTGTAATTTTTTTGCAGTTTTTTGGTTGATCTCTTTTTTCAGAAAAATTCCCAATTTTCCGAGCTACTTCTATTTTGTTCGGGACAATACAACACATTTAGCAAATAAGGTGATTTTTACCAACATTTTGTGGAACACATCCCTTCTATTTGTTTTTTAATATACTACATCCGTCGTTTCTACTTAAAGTTGACCTGTGATGTAGAAGACACTTGGCTGTTCACTATAATTATGGATATTACATATAATTAAATCAAAGAAAAGAGATTGTTGATATTTTTGAATTCCGTTATAAGAAATTGTGTAAAGCATTACAGCCTTCTTCAAAAATTAAAACCCACATGGAAAATCAAAATATTTTTAAAAGCGAATTTATGAATTGTCATATTTATTGTAAAATATGCTTTACTTCCGATGGTTTCAGCAGGTTGAGAAGGGACAAATCATAAATTATTTTTGAAAAATTACCAGCAGTGAAACGGAATCTGTTAAACAGTTGGTTGTGGAGGTAGTTAACAATAGCTTGATCTAAATATTGTTAACATCTTCTTTTTCCCAGAACATAACGATAAATATGCCCGATACGAAGAATTTTACTAATGGCAGTTCACCCTGTGAAGATTTGGAAATTTGCTACATTGAAGATGAAGATGTGGACGAAGAAGATGGTACAGGATTTAAGAATTTAAATAAAGAATTTTCATACAAAATCTTTATGAGATTGCAGTGGAATTTTTTTGGTCTTTTTTATTCAGATAGTGCAAGAAGCGATCAATCAAGTATCAGCTTCGAATCAGTTACTACACCAGACTTATCCGGTGGTGAAACGTTTCATTTAAGTGATAATGCTGCCGTACCATTATTCTTGAATTTCTCTTGTGCAATACGTTTTTCTAACATGGATATGTACACATTTCCTATCGATCATTTACCATCCTGTGTTATGCAACTACTGAAGCAGTGTTCCAATATTTCAAAAAGAAATTTTGCAGGTAAGTTCGAAACTTTTCTCTTTATCTTATAAATCGTTTATCCAGTATTTTTTCTTTTCATTGCTGGTGAAATTATGCAGTAAGTTTTAACTTCGGTTCTTTCATCTGACTATAGAAAAAACGAAAACAGTTCGGAAAAAAATCAGTACCATTTGATTGAAGATTATAATTGGGCGCGCATTCTTTTGATTAAATTGAAGTGTTAAATGTAATTTTTTTCTCAAATAATTTCAAATTAAATTTTAAACGTTTAATAGATTCCTTCCAATTTCAGCAATGGATTTGATCGGAATTTCGTTTGACATCTATGTTCTGTCGTGGCCTATGCGACACTTTACCTTAACACAATCTGATTCGTGTGCAGTTACACCAAAAACGCCGGATAAGTCGTCGGAATCATTTCACAAATTTACTTACTTTGATTTCGATAGTCCTTATTCTGCGACAACTTCTGATATCATTAGCCAACTCCCAAATCCTGTAAATCTTTCTTCTTATCTTTATTTTGTTACTCTGATTGTATATTTTGATGAATCTTCTTTATTATATTAATTTTATGATTATTTTAGGAAAATGAAGCAGTTCGTCGTTTGGAATGTGGAATTACACGTTTACTTCATATGGAAACAGTGTTTGTGTTATCAAGATATGATGATGTGACCCTTGACACTCTGCACAAAGTAATGGTATTCATTGCCAAAGAGGTAAGTTTGAATTAACTTGATTTTAAATAGTTAAATTTTGCGAATTTTAAATTTATGCACTGACTTTTGTGTATTGATTAGATTAGAGAAGTCGCATATTTAGTACGCAGTGTGTATTTAATACACAATGTTGTCCTTGTAAGTTACTGGTCTCTTCATCTTCTGACTTAAAGTTGAAGACTGATTTAATTTTATAGCTGCTGGATGGCTGACTTTACAGCTACTCAGGAGTTTCATCACTCATTTTGCTTGGTAATTCTTTCAGTTCAAAATTTCGCTTTTCAAGTTGCTTGATAGCTTAACCAAGTCAACAGTGTTTTTTCTTTATTTCTGTAACATCTTAATTCCAGAATTCATTTGTACTCAGTTATAGCTATTCATCGTTTTCCATTATAAGTGTCCCAATCTCATAATAATATGCGTCAATGTTGGTTGCCAAATTAACTATTCACATCAAATTTCAAGTTTTTGAGGCGATTGCATGAAGTGCGACATGATAATGCAGGTTGAAATGAAGATATATGGACGAATTTTGAGTTTGAGCGGTATAATACGACTAACAGATAACATACGGTACTGTTTTAGCAACGTGAGAAGAATGATACGGCCCGGTTCAAAGTAAAATTATTACAACTGGTCATGGTAATGGAACAGGTGAAAGCTGTACGCCGTCTGAAAGAGCGTGTTAAAAACTTTGATCTGCTCTACTGTAAACTGGAAGCGCATCCGGAATCGAGTAACTTGTTTTATTGCTGTCACGTGGCAGATGTTGATCTTTATGAAGAAACCTTGAGAAAGCAAGTACATACTGCGGCGAGTGTAACACTGAAGGTTGTTATTTTGTGAATTAATGTTTTTTATTTTTTCAGTATAAATTTCAAGTTCTGAAGCTAGAACTCTGTGTGCGCTGTTCACATGAATTTTTGAATTAATGCAATTATTAGTGGTAATCTTTTTTTTGTGGAATTTTCAAATTCTAGAGCAGGGATTTTACATGTGGAACGTTAATGTACCCTCTGCTTATGCACTTTATTAACTGACCTATAAAACCATCCGACTTTAGTCATCGCGACGAAGTAGTGGCAGCTTCACAGAACGTATAGAAGAACAGAGAAGCATGTCAGTGGCAAGAAAAGTTTCAAGTATGGAATTACTGAATACCAAGATTTCACGGGAAAAACTAACAAGACGAAGGTATGATCTATGTCTATCATAGACTTTTCGAAATTGCCGAATTCAAATTTGAATTGGCATACCTTTATAGTTCAGTTATAAGCAACGGAAGATGAAATTTAATATGAACACTTATAATACAAAACATACTCCTTATAATGCAATTGTAATAAGTTGCAGAGACAGTAGTGTACCGATTTTAAAAGCTGATCGTAGACTTTCTGAGGACTATGAATATCCTTCAACAATTGCAGGTATATACATACTTAATTGGGGTTGATAAGATGACACAATCTTTGTTTTCATAATGGAATTTTATAATATATGAGTCGTAACAATAATCTTTGTTCTACACCTAGTAGTATGCCAAAATTTATCTCAGATTAGCAAGATATCAATACCACGCTTCAAAATATATTGCTACACCTTCATATTTGTTATCACGACAAATTCTTCATCATAGTCAATTCCACTGATATTTTATCAGTGTAAATGGATTTAAGGCATAGAAGGGAGAAAAGAGAAACGATAAGCAGGATCGTCTTGAACTTTCCTTTGAATTTTTTAAATCTGAATACTGAAATTTCAATAATGATTTCAGAACGGACTCGTTATAATGATCATGACTTATGTGATTTCTGGATTATTTTAAATGTCGAAATGCAACAGATACAAGCATTCTTTTGCGAAAGGCAAGATTACGCTTTTTACTTCCATGTGCTTTTTTTCACTCTTCAACTTGAGTCCGCCTGAGCAAATCTTTGATTTTTTAAGACGTAAGATTTTAATTTAATCCAGAAAAGCTAACAGGCTTTTTAGTTAGGTTCTGATTTCAATTTGTTTTTTATTACTAGCAAATTTTTTCTTTTAGGTATGCACATCATCATGAAAAGATTTTTGGGCTCCTCTTAGAAGCAATACAGAAAGAATGCCATACCATAAATCAGGTAGTTTCATGAATGCCTTTCATATATGTATATATAATTTTTAAATAACTTTTTCTAACTTAACAACAATATGTGAAAGGATTGGAAAATCATCAGTCTTCCAGTGGTTCAGCCATATGTCTTCCGGTTATGTTACATTGACGTGTTAGTCGGCTACGGCCACTTGATTCTTGTAGAAATGATATACTGTGGTAGCCAGAAGCACAATAATTCATGTCGACTCTCAAAGGCTGCTGTAATGGCTTGAAACTTCAGTCCCTGTGTTCATGGTGTCTTCAATCCACTTAAAACTTCCGGAAATATATCATTTTAGATTTTTAACATTATCTATTATCCAGCTGATGTTCAGCTGGTGGTCCTCCAGTAATCTGAGGAAGTGCTCAGATCGAACTCATTTGAAGAAATTAACAAAAAACGATGCGAAATTCATATTTTCAGGAACTTTTGCTGGAAAAAATGCATTCAGTTAGCGAATGCGACGATTTATTAATCGAAAATGAAACGGAATCGCATAAATTTGTCCCCTCAGATTCGCATAGTTCAATCCCTGATACAAAATTGACTCGTTCTTTGATACATAAGTGCAAAGCACCACGAATCAAGAAGAATTTCAGCTTTTCTTGTAAGCTTCCTAAATTATCGGTTCATAAATTTTAGTTGAATATGTTTAAGGGAAATAAGGCTTTGAGGAATATTACTATGATAGATTTTTTTTTCCACTGAAAATATCTAAAATCATTATTTTGAAGTTCGCAATTTTAAGTTGTGATTATAAAAGATACCGTTCTGGATTACCATTCCTATAATTCATTTATCAGGCAGATTTTAACGGCGGTATTAATCAATATTAATTTGTCATATCGATGTTTATATTGTGTGAGGGGGTAAATGACGTTCGGATTGCTTTGTAAAAAGCGATAGTTCGTTTCATCTTGTTTGGCTGTTTGATTGTTCATCTCTTCCTTTCTTAAAATACAAATTTCTTTTCAGATTCCGATGAGGATGAAATGGATGCTGCATCCTATATGCCAGCACGGGTCTTTTATCCTCCTGGTCATTTTGCTTGCCGAATCGTAACGCATCACTGGTTTTACATACATCCTCGATTGCATATCGAAAAGAAAGGGGCAGGATGTTCTCTAGGTGAAGATGTTTCTAGTGATTCCTAGTAGTAAGAGTGGAAAGTTAAGAAATGTTGAGTAGTTTTTTTTTCGAAGGAGAAATTAAGATGAACATCCATAATGAAAAAGGCATGAGTAGGAATTGCAAGGGACAAAAGTAATGTCGCAGAATTCTAAAGATTTAGGAATATATTTTCAGATGCAGAAACTCACATAATTCGAAATACAAGTGCTTTTCTTGACAAAACTATTTTAGTGATGGGATATGATGCGTTGTGTCAAGGGATTGAACAATTCGCAGTCCGAAATCGGCGTAACTTATATGTTTGTTGTGAAGAGAACAAACGAAATGTATTTTACATGCAGCTTTTTGCTAGTGAGGACAGTTTCAGAAGAAGGTGTTTACATTGTGATACAAAGTTCATTGATGAGGTTTGTTACCGAAGACCTTTAATTCATTAAATTTTAGAATACAGACTATTTTTTCTATAACAGCGGTGTAAGCTTTATATATTGGAGCACCTTGCTAGAGACTGCTGAAAATATGTTCATTGTTGAATAGTTATCGTAGCGGATTTCCTTTATCATTGGAATGATATAAAATATGATCATAAATGATGCAGACTTACTTTACATGCACAGCGTTTATAGATGGTTGAAAAATTTCAAAATAATGTGTTGTTGACAGTTCACGGAATTCATCAACCCACCATGATAATTCAATCAATTGTGGATGCTATGCAAAAACGACTCGAACTAAAAGTACTCGAAGAGTTAACAGATATTTTGTACAAAAACCCACGGACTCGGCTAACAACAGCTGATGTCGAAGTATAGTTTACATTTTAAACAAATGTAATAATTTAATCAGCGGAAGATTTTATTGCTCATTTCATCTCACTGCTTAAATATTGAATTTAACAACTTCAGCAGTGAGGCTTAAAAACACTTTGCTTGGTTGCGAATATAAATATTTGTCTGAAATCTTATGACGGAATGTAAAACTTGAAATTTTTTTTTTGTAAGGTTATAATTTCAGCTTTTCAAATGCACTTTTTAAGGTTTCTGATTAACTTCCGTTTTTGCTTTTTTATCCTTTTTTCAGTTTATTCAACGGGATCCTGCCAAGCCGTCTGCAATACATTACTGCACTTTACCGAACTATATTTATGGTTATTTGGGATCACTCTACTATTACATGTACCAACAGATGCTGACATTTACAGCAGGAGCTCGATTTCGCGACTGTAGCGGTGGTTTGAATAGAAATAGTCCGTTGTCGCACGAACGTTTTCATTCACTTTCCGGTTCTCAGCCGGCTTGCAATAATTATATTCCACATTTCTTCCTAATAAGCAAGCCACCCACAAAGGGTTCTTCGAATATGGGTATGGTTTTATTACATCTCTTTTAAATGACTGTTACCTATGGGTAGATTTTGGTTTTCATTTTTTGTTTTTAATTCAAAATGGATAAATTACAATATCTGTTAGTCGAGCTTTAGTGGAAATTTTATTTTTAAGCGTTTGTTGGGGACATTTTTGCGTATTTCATTTTTCTGTTATATGTTAAGCTTGTCAAATTGTTAAGAGCGATTTGCAGGTTAGGCTGAAAAGTTCTTTTTTTTTTCTCAGGAATTGCTTGTACTGAGACGCGTATAGTGGATTCGAACGGTGATTGCATCGATTCGTTGAAATATGCACGGATTAGTCCAAGTACCCACTCGAAATTGTATCCAGGGGGTGGTAAATTTCGTCTTTCATCAAATGAACGTTTTCATGAACTGACACGTTGTATCACGACGTCACTCCCTTTACCAGAATCACTGCTTTCCGAGAAAACAGGTATATGAATTTTTTCAATTTGTTACTAGGAAAATGTGGCATCAGGTAAGTCTTTTCTTTATTTTCAGATCCTACATTGTTGACAATTTAGTTGGCAAATTTTATGAATTTGTTAATTCGGATCTTGATCGCTTCACTTTGCTTGTTGTATTTTGCTCATCTTCTTGATAACTGTCCTTTATCTTAATATTCCTGTATTTAACAAATTTCCATGATCCTTTAGGTGGCGTATCATATTTAGTTCAGTATACAATTTGGCAAGTGGGCGATGTTGGCTTAGCAACTTTGCAACCAATATTTCGACTAGCCTTGCAACAGGTAATTTCTGTGTGGTTGCAAACTATGATCGGTATTATCCACCAACCTTTGTTGATATCTCCCGAGGGTAATGCCATTGTATATCTCAATTTCACCAATGAAATTTTAGATACTGATCGTCGAAATTTTTATTTTGGATTATTAATTGTTCACGTAGTAGTGAGTATATCTTTATTCCAAATTATCTATTCCATTTTTCAACTATCTTGGCACTGATTTATAATATGCATTTCTTTTCGAGGTTGGAAAGAGATTTCAGGCGCTCTGTGATTTAATCAGTGAATTTGGCCTTCTAAGTATTCCTTTAGTAGAACTTACTACCACCAGTCGTTATTCATGTTCAAATACGCCGATCTTGCCATACATGGCAAGTGAAGAAAGGTTGTTACCTTATTTTCCAGTTGAAGATTAAGAGTAGTAACTTGATTTAATAAAAAGATGTTTCAGCGATTTGAGCCAGGAATTTTGTTACCAATAATTGGTCAGAATCCATAGTTTTCAAAATTTGCTCATTTTTCAGAATGAGATTCTACAGTGATGCGTCGCAATTAAATCTTGTGGCAAAACCATTTCGAAAAGCTGAATCGCATATACAACCACCACTTCTGGAACAGTCGCCGCAACCAGTTTCCCGGAAATCAAAAAGTACTACTAAGGTTTTTGTTGTGAATAAAATGTTTTGTTTTTATGCAATGTTTTGTTCTCAAAATTTTCAGAAATGACTGCTAAAAAGTTCTTATAGAAATTCAAGGTTTTAGTATTTCTATACCACTCTGTTTTTTTTTCTTCAAAACAAAACCATTTCACTGTGTGATCATATCATTTAGAGTAGCACAGTGAGAAGATGGATCATGCAAGGATAAATTAGAATAAGGTGTGGAAACTTACTTCCAAAATACTTTGTTTAAGTTCTGTGATATTTGTATTTCCGATTTTGCTGAAATATTTGTGCGAGGAAGTTTTCAGTGCAGTCGGACACTTGTGTTTTTTATTTTTAAATATATTTTCTTCAACTATACATTATTGCTGCAATTATTACCAGGTTCTTCAAACAGCAGTGATTGTGAATCGAACGTCTCAGTCAATTATCAGTTTATTACGGTAGCTGCAAAGTGGTTCGATCATGTCGTTTCGGAAGTAAAAAATACGGAACACCAATTTTCCGTCAAAAGACATACATTTCACTGTGAAAGCGATCATTCTGTTCGAAAGGTGGTATATAAAGTTTTATCTGAATCTATTTGATGGTACTATATGCATGAAGTAGTATGAAACAGTATGAAATGCTCTTGTATTGTGAATACATAATACATAACGTATGAACGGTTATATAGCAACATGCTAAAATCATGATTTTAAAAACTTTGCAGTCGCTTTAATTCACTACTGACTTTCAAATAAAAAATGAAGGCATCATCAAGGATTATGTTTTTTTTTAATAAGCGATTATAAGTGTCGCAATCGCTTTTTGTCAGGATATTGTGTAGGAGTCATCATTAACCAATAGATGTTTCAGATCTTTACCGTTATACAAGATAAATTATCTGTCATTCTGAAGCACGAAACCATCATAATATGCCAATTAGAAGCGCATGGTTCGAAGCGCTTTTCAACTCAAAACTCGTTAAATGACAATGTCGTAACTTTCAGTGTATGTGTTGCTTTTATTTACTTGAATTATTTCTTTTCATTTTTTTAAAGAAATTCCATGTTTAAGAGTTTAGTTTTTACGTATCGCATTTTTTTATTTGATCTGCAATAAATTTTCCATGGCTTTTCGCCTGGTTTTTGATTAAAGAGGGAAAAGAAATCTAATTGGTTCATTGTTGTTTCATTGGCCATCGGCTCTAACTTCAAGTTATTTATGTCTTTATCGATTTTAAGAATGATTTTGGAAAAAATTCTTTATATGTTTCAGAATGACAGTGGTCGGATAGTTGCAGGCGAAAACGAGGAGCCTTCGCTAATAATGCTTGCCTATAACCACCATTATTCAGAGGCGATATTGAAATATGGCGCAGATTCACGCTCAAACATTATACCAACAGCTGTGGAAGAAGTCTTGCATGATCAAAAAGGTTCGAATTACTTTTTTCTTTTTGAAAGTTACTGCTAAAATAAATTAGTTTCAAAACTAAGCATATGTTGTATTGATTATAATGAAATTATACTTTGTTTCCTGTCATGACAATTAAAAGAAAGGGATTTAAGAAGGCGAGAGAGATTGTTATTGTTCGTTGTGGAAGCTGTTAAATTTTTAAAGGAATGACTTACAGTGTATCGGTTCGTTTTGTGTTCGAAACTTACAACAGATTATCCTTTATTATCGTCTGGATACCAAATGCAGTGTAGTTTCAAATAATTCCATACAATAGAATGACTTCCAGGGTAAAGCCAGTAGAATAATGAGAATTTGTAAGGATTAATAGATTGGGAGAGGTAAATAGATAGAGCGTTTTTGTGTGAACCTTAGTATCGACAGATGGGTTTTTGGCAACAATGAAAAAATCTTATGATTCCTTATGTTTATATAAGGAGGTGTAAGGAGAAAGGAAAGAAATGTGATGCTTAACAGATATCTAAACATGTTGAATATAAACATGTTTATAAGATTAGATATCTCTACAGTATGCCTATCCATGTTTATAAGATTCATTGTCATCCAGATGTGCGCAAATCTCAACATCAGACAAAGTTCATTTAGAGACGTTTTAAAGATTAAACAACCGACTCATGACTGTAAGCATGAGAGAAAAAAAAGTGTAGATGCAAACTATTTAAATGAATAATTTTATGATACAATTATTTCGGTTTTTCCGACATCTCCTTCAAATCAGAAGATGCTTAATCAGCGAATGGATTGATTGTAGGTTATTAATTTTGTCGATATTATGTAAACTTCTTTGGTTAAACTGTTGCTTGGCTATATCCATGATAGGCTACTGGATAAAATAACATAATTGGCATTGAACAATTATGATCGCTTTTCCCAGCTTTTAAAAATCACTGTTGATTACTTCATTTTTTAGCTAGCTCAATGCGTTTTTTACCGCAAATAGCTCCATTTGTTCCAAGGCAGCATTTGTTATATCTGTTATCGAAAGGTGAAACGGTAATTCATATGTTTTTTTTCTTGTTTTTCTTTTTGTAAAGTATGGGAATAATTAAGGATAAAATAATAACTTTGCGGCATGCAAAACCACACGTGCTAAATTATTATTTTATAACTTCTTATTTGAACTAGAATCAGTGAGATTCTGTATTATCCAACCTGAACCTCCCTGATAAACTTTCTTGGTTTAAGAACATCAGGAGGATGGATAAAATTAATTAAATATTTGCTTCAATCTTTCTTTGTTTTAGATCGGAATAGTGAGAATGCAGAGTTTCTTTGCAGAAATATTTGGTGCGCTACATAAAGTGCATTTCGTAATAAATTTTTCAAAAAATTTTAGAAACTACCTCACTTTATATTGCAGATTACTATTTTTCATTTACCAACTTATTACGCAGTTTCAATTAATAGGCCACCTTATATCTGTACAATTATTCGTCGGATGCCGCAGAACAGGTTTATCAAATGGTCGCAAATGTATTATCATGGCAGAATGCCCGATCAAGACTACTTCGAGAAATTGGTTTGCATAAAATGGGTGTTACCCATTTATCTGGTCGAATCACTCCAACAGGTGAAGAGCTAGTTTGGCTGAATAGTGAGCTACTGAGTGAATATGAAATTCCGCAGCATGGATCTGTGCATTTCGATAAAAGGTATCTTTGCGATTACAAATAAAGTTTTGACTTTGGATTATTGAGAATCTCAAACATTCCTAGAAATTTATTTCATCCTGAAATTCATGAGGACAATTTTGAAGTAGTTTCAATACAGTTGATTGCTATAGACAGTTGCCATCACGGGGGAAAATCTTTAAAGTAATACATCATAAGAGATGTGTTAATAAATGGTAGGTCCATCTGCTTAGTGATTTGTCTTCTGGAAACTCTGGAAATATTTTGAAAAACTATTTATAGACAGGAATGCAATACTTATTAATTTCGATAGCATTCAGTGCCTCTAATATTCGATGTACAATAACTCTCATTTTCATTGTAATTTTTGCTGTCCTTGAATTGCCATCGATTAGGATAAATTGAAAAAATAATCTGATCTGTTGTCAAGCTTCTCAGTGTTTAGAATCTGAATTATTTATGAGATTCCTTCAAATGTGAAAGAGTGACAGATTTTTCTTTTCATCACATTCAAATTTCATACAATGCCCGAATGCTATTTCATGTTATCCTCCTGTTCAGATGATACTTGAAACTTCAAATATATTCGGAAAATTACTATATGTACAATTATTTTTATATCCATACTTTATATTCGTACTTTTATATATTCATACTTTTATGTTAGACAACAATACAAAAATCTGTATGCATATATAAATTGCAAATTACACGTGGGCGTAAAATATAAACATGAGAACGCTAAATATACTAGAACTAAAACGCTAAACTTGGAACCTAATACACTGATGCAAATTAGTGAATAATCAACAAAATAGAATTATTCATCGATGTTCGATGAAGGGATTTAAAATGATTTTTACAGATTAGTGAGCGGAATGCACTACATCCAAGCTGAACCATTAATGCATCTCTATCGGTATACAACCTTATCCTTTTTGCCGCTTAATTTGAACAGTGATAACCTTTTCGAAGATCAATGCTCTCAAATGGTTTTTATTGAAAAACAGGTATCCCCATAATTCTTATTTTAATGAATAGGAAATCAGAAAAAAATTAAATTTCAGGTAGTGGATAGAGAAATAACCTCGTTTGAGGATTTTACTTTTACAAGTTGATATGATTTGGAAAATTCATTACCTTACGTCATTTAATTAGAAAACGACTTTTTTTTCGCATCACGCACATTGAAAGTTTCTGTGTTAGGTGTCCTATTGTTGTGAATACTTTGAAGGAAAACAAAAATTCTCAGAGTTAGTATCGTGAATTATTCCGATTCCATAGAGGGTCTTTTTTGTTTCTAATTATTTGAGATGAAACTTCTTGATTTCCTACATATTCAGTTCTAATCAAAAATAGAAACTCAGGTTCTAGAAACTTTGTAAATTTCTTATAAAATAGTGCTATTGGTAGCAGAAGAGATTGAAATTATGACATACTTTTATACTCAATAAGTAGGAAATCGTAGTAAATTTTACTTTCTGCATTATTTTAGTACTTTTTATATGAATTCCATGATCCAGGGTTCAAATCCAAGCTTTTAATGTACTGAACAAATTATTGCATTGTGCTTCAGTGTTCTTCAGTGTTCATTACGCTTCGTTCTTTTTTTTTTTTTTAAATAACAGATGAGATCAATGCTTCACGACTGTGAGAAGTTCAATCGGATACACGGTGAATTGATGAGTGGTTCTCATGAAATCAAGGAATCTGATTTACTAAAAATTATTTCTCATAGCCGGGTAGTACATTTTGTTCGGTCACCTTTGTTACTTTTCCCGAAGTGGCGTAAATTAGTAGCAGTTGTTCGAAGTGGAACTCAAAATACATTGAGGTAAAGATATTTATATGCTTTATTTTTTTAAGCTATTTCAGCCGTGAATGGTAACAGAATTTCCTAATCAATGACTTTACTGATTTCATTAAAGGAAGGATTTCGACTGTATAGATTATTTGGGCCGAGAGCAGAATAATCTTTACTTTCCCGGTTAATTTCCAAATTTAAATAACAAATCGGTGTATGAATTCGGTCAAAAGTAATTATTTTCGGAATCTACCATAAATGCTATTTTGTACTCAGTCAATAAATTTTTTGTCCCTTTTCTAATTTTAAAAAATCTTCCATTTCAGTTTTAAACGGGCATTAGTAGCCGATTCACCTTCGAGACATGTCAGTGGCTCGAAAATGTCTCTTCTCGAAAACTCTTCATCAATATCACATGTAAATCTATCATAATCACTGCCAAATAAACCCGTTCCTAAAAGCTAAATACTGTTAATGTGTCCTGGGAAGATGATAACTGGAGTGACTTGGATCATTTTATATCTTAGCTGGTGTTTAAGATAAAAAGATCTCTCGCAATAGCATAAGTAACTCCATAATCAGTTAAAACTTGGTCAGGGATGATACGAGGTCTTTTAAGGGATTTCCTTTATTTGTTTAAGTAGACTTCGATTCTGACATGAAATTTTTCAAATATTTAGGCTCACGAAGGGTAAAACAATTGAAAATTAGATAATACACTCTTCTAAAGGTATCTTCCGCTAATATTGCCAGTTCATGGTTGAAAATTTTTTGAAGTATTTACCAAAGTAAGAAAAGGATGAATTAATTATATAAGATGGTATTATTTTCCATTGAGCTATATTTCAGAGTAGTGCAGAAGAAATATATTAAATAAAGAAATATATTAAATTACTTCAATATGAATATGCATTACATTCTTTGCAGATGCGCGCAACACGTTCAAATACCTTCAGCGCATTATTACATTCTTCCGATCTGACGATACGAAAGTTAACAAAAAATTTAGAAGAGGACGAACCATGTTGTCTGAAGATACAGTTTATGCTTGTTGAGGTTAATGCTTCTTGTCGTTTTCCGATAATAAAATTTCTAAAAAATTTTGGTATAAATTTTTTTGGAAGTTTCTTTTAGAAGTTTACGAGCCATTTCAAATGAAGAATCAATTACGGTTTTCGATTATTTAATTGATGTGCATTATAATTATTTGATTTACGAATCTCAGTTAAGCTATTGAACTGTAAATTCTGATTACTCAAAAGACGAAAAGCCGTATTTAATTAATGACGTGAAAGTTTAGTAATTTGTGGAATGGGTACAAAAAGTCGTCAGCAATTTTTTGTTTTGGAAGTTAAATGATATTGACAACATTTTTTTAGAGTTATGTGAAATATCTAACGAGGAATGGACTAACATTGTTGGATGTTACAACTGTTAGCCCTGTAACACGACAGGCGGGTGCTCGTTACAGTTTGCATTACGATATGCAGGTATATTTTCTAGGTGGCGAGTAAATTCGTTGAAGTTTTTAATCACTTGATTTTGAATTATTGAATCTCTACTTTTTAAATAAATCCTTATAAGATGATTTTCACTTTGTAAAATAACTGCAGAATATAGTTAACAGCAGAATCAGTTTTCGATTAGATGAAAATTTTGGATAGCACTTGAGATAATCGTCACGTCATATATTAAATTCCAGAATACCGAATCATCACCTAATGTTTGGATGTATAAAGCTTGTGATGGTGGTATTTTATTTGTTCATATTACGATAATTGAACCACATTTTAGGTTTGTTGAAACTGATTAAATTTTATTGCTTCAGAAAGATTCCAACAAAAGGAATTGATATCAGCTGAATTGTTTTATTTGCGAATCAAAATCATCCATTTCTTGATTTTTCACTTTGCAGTTAGATTTGCATTGATCTTTTACAAGCAGTAGTAATACATGAATTTTTGATAATGCTTTAATCAAACTTTGCGTTATGACATCGCATATTTCAGCACAAAAGTTGCGAAAATTTTGGCTGTTTTTTCGATATTTTTTCAAAAGTTTTAACAGAGTTTTAAAAATTTCAGCGTTCAGTATTTATTATGGAATGTTGCACAATTAAATCGGTTGAAAATTAAATGTGATAAGAACTTTGATTATAACGATCAAAGAGACCTTTATGCGTTGAAGGATAGTATTATATCAAAGGCTCACGTTCATTCGTTCACCTATGATTTCCATTTACGTATGGTTGCCACATATTTGATCGGTGGACAACAGGTATAGAAACTTATTTATAATTTAGCAGGACGAAGATTAAATTAGCTGTATTTGAAACTATTGTTTGTTGGAAATTATTTGTAATTATCACGGTCAAAGGTGTAGTGGTTATAGTTTGATGAACTGTATATGTACTAAGATATTATATCTCATTTTACATTGCCAATGTTCTGTGATGGATACATTCTAGTGAAATCAGTGGGGAATTCTGTATATCCTCAAAGATGATCTGGATATTTATGAACAGTCAGTGGAAGTAGAAATGAAATAATATTCTGCTGCATATCATTTTCAGGTTCTCTTCAATTACGGATACAATACAAACGAGTTTTTAACTGATTTTTTGCGGTACTATAATTGTCGCCCACCTTATGCTTGCAATTGTATATACGAAGAAAAAGTTGGTCTTTTTTTTTTTGAAATTTACCAAATTTTCCATTTGCCTATTATTTGCTCTTCGTTCAATGTGCACAAAGTATATACAGTGATGTTAATTACTTCCTTTTCTTTGTTTTCAGATAACATTTCCTAATTTACCAGTAACAAACCAGAAGGTTTGGGAATATTTGTTGGATGAAAAACGTCATAACTGGCGCATAGTACGTTTGAGAACAAATGAAATGGATATGCCTGGGCAATTTATGATTGTTACAGAAAATGATACAGTAAAAGTTTTCCTTAATTTTTCTTTCACTTTCTTTTTCATAAAAGTTTTTCAATATTCATTTTTTTTTTGTAACTTATTGTCTATATATAATAGCATATTTCAGGATTGTTTTGGATTAGCTTATAAGGAAATTCGAGCAGTAGTTCATGAAAACCAACTTTATGCTACAAAAACACTGAATATAAAATTTTATGTTATGCTGGTTTCGCATGAAGAAAGTTTTTTTTCTATTTGTGAGTTATTTGTATTTGTGAATTGTGAATTATTGTATGAATATGAAAATATATGTACTTGATTTTATACGTTGATTTTTTAACAGAATTTGATGTTTATTTAGCTGATCCACTGGTCGGATGCTCAGAGATAGATGCGAATTGTAAATGTGATGCAAAAATAAGTGAATTTCAAAAACTCTCAGGCTTAAGTGATACGGACAGTTATCGAAAAAGTGTTGAAGGCATTGCAATGCAGGAGTAAGTTAATTTTTAATTTTATTTGAACTACATTTTGTTCTTTCATAAGTCATTAAATATTGGTGACGCAGAATATTAGTTGAGAATGAAATTGACAATGATGATAGTTATTCATTTGTGTTTATACTTGTCTTGCCACAAAAGTGATGTAAGTTTCGAAAAGTAAACTGATATTACAAATAATGATCTAATTTTTATTAGTCTTTAAATAAATCAATAACTTATCAATGTTTTTACATGTGAACGCTCCATTTGCATGATTCTCTCAATCTTTTGGAAATTCATTATCTGCTCGAGTATCTATAAAGAATTTGGATGCGACATTGTTTTGGGCATATGTACCGCTCTCCCCATCATTCGTTTTTCTCTGTCCCTGTTCTCAACTATCGATTTTTTCCGAGTCCTTTAATATTGCAGCAAGTGCTTATCATTTGAATAAATATCGCTCTTTTTCCTACATTATTAGATCTCAAATTTTAAATGTAAGTCTAATTTGATATCTCTCTTTGTGACAACAGTCACTTCAGTCATTTTGACTAAATAATTATAATACTTGCTCAGATTTGATACCACCTTCGATTCCCGCATTACACATTGTTTAGGTTTTTTATTTCCATTTCACTTGCATAATAATCTTTACAGTATTTTTTTTATGTAAAATAAGCTGTATTGGAATATTTGTTTTCCTTTTAAAAGGATGGAACCGTGAACAATTCGTCGTTACTCATAGGGCTTCACGTTAACTTCTAATTCTTTTGTTACTGTCAAGAATTGGATTATTGGGATTGTCAGTTATTTTCAAATTTCTGCATTGATTATCACGTGATATATAATCATGTGACCTGAAAATGTATTTTCATGGAATTGTTAGTATTTTGATTCTTCACTTAGCGATCTTTTGAAAACAGTCTTATGTTATTATGATACTATGGTAGATCACATGCAAAAGTAGTATGCTAGTCGCTTAAGGACACGTACTTGTTTCTCTTACAAACCACTTCTAAAGCTAGAACTTCTTTATTTTTAGAAAATTTAGTGCTTTCTTTTAATAAACTAGCATGTAACGATCTCTTCTTTTCTCAGCTTTTGGTCTAATTTCAAATCCAAATTCGAATTTGAATTGCTCAAATATTTTCCCCTTAACACTAACATTTGTTATTGGTCGAACAATTATCAGTTCAAAATGTTTGTAGCAGTGCCAATAGTGCACCGATCGCTTATACTAGGCGAAGATGTCACAGTGGAGACAATAATGGATCAACAGTGGAAGCAGCACTTCCGCGCAATTATTCAAACGGTTAGTATAAAAAATTTACGTATTCATCTCATAATCTAATGTTATTGGCATTCGCTTGATGCTTTTATAATCTATCCAAACAGATTCACATTCAATTCCTGAAGTGCTTTTCGTTGCAGGAAAACGTTTTGGAGAAATTCTTGCTTCTGTTTAGTTTATTCTATAGCTTAGTTTAATAAAACAGAAATTTCAGTAATTTCAAAAAAAAAGGTATCTAAGATAGTGACTATTATGATCATTGTTATTCGATTTGTTTCAGTTATGATTCCTTAAGTAATTGGATTTATTATTTTCAGAAAAATCATGTCAAATTTTGCAGGAATAAAATTAGATGAGCGTCATCCAGTATCAAAGGAAAAAACACAGATATCAAAGGGAAAAACACAAAAATTATCTATTCAAAACATTGCACCTTTGAGGCATCGCAAAACACGACCAAATTTCCGAGGTATTGCGTCTTTGCAACGAGATTTTCGGAATTTTCAAAGTGTTTAACTTTTGTTTTTAAGGATGCATGCTCTGATGTGACCTCTTTTGTAGCATATAGTGGGCAGTAGTCATAAATGCCAATATAAAGCATAGTTTCTTGACAAGTGGAATTTGAAAGTAGGGTTTGACTATATAATTTTATCCAAACTTTTCTTTTCAAGGCGGTATCAGGCTATCGGATCCACCAACAATATTGCCACGTGAGCAAACATTTTACGTCTACTACATAAGTAGACGGCAAAAAAGATTGCAAAAAGAACTGGAGGATAGTGTAATGCATTATAAGCGAAAGTTACAAATGGTAATTGAGGATGCCGTATGGCATTGCAAAAGAAATCAGGTGGATTTAAAGTTATAGTTACACTTATTTTACTTCATATCCATTTTTTCAAAATTCATGAGTCTTATATAACTGCGTCTGATTTGCAAACATAGATTCTTAAATGTTTCACCAGCGTTGTAATTTGATATAACCAATGAAGCGGATAAGCAGAATGGCTTTCACTTAATACTTCGTGCTAAACTTAACACTTGACATAGAAATATTGTAGGAATGCTTTTTTTTTCCTTTTGCATAACATGACGGTTTGCATCCAAAAACTTTCAATCTCTTTCAGCTTTGGGATGACATGTTAGAAAAGCATGTAACAAAACGTGAAACCGTTGAAATGACCGAACAGTGGAAGATACTAGCTCGTCATAGTAGTGATGTAACCGCAGTGTTACGGCTAGCACTTTCAACATCTCTTACAACAGCAGATCTGGATAATTTATTGGGTTATGTTAAATTTGAATCCTTGAATATTTACGAACCATTATTGGATTCACTAGTCAGTAATCTGAATCCTGGGCTCTTCTTTAAGTTACTTATTCAACATTTTGGTCTGCAAAAATGTCGATTATTCTGTTCATCCGTGAAGGAGGTATTTTTTTAGAAATTAATTTTTATTTTATAAAACCCGTAGTACAATTTTTGTAACTTTTTCAAATTGAGCCTTTGGGAATTTCGGAAATTGGATTTGATTTAGTTAAAAATGGGTAGTATTTTGGTAGATAAATGGAGAAAGTATAAATAGATAATATAAAGAAGCAGAAGAACTGTATTACCTTGACCACACAATATTTAATGCATCGATTTGCAAATATTGTAAATAGAAATTTTAAATTTCGATTCAGGATCTTAAACCAAAGATCTATGAGTTAGTGATAATTCTTTTGTTTCTAGTCAAACTAGCTGCGTTGCTTTGGTTTTTAATATGATGTTGGATGAAATATATATGGGAAAGAAATATTTAGAAAAGTTTGGAAATGCAGTTACTAGATATCAAGTTAAGATACATTTTGGTTACGTCCGTTAAATCTGAATTAGCTTGCCTGGAATTCTGCTATTCCTTTGCAACATAACACAGATTATTCCAGAATCAGTCTAAGGAAAGAAAAGTTTAAGAAAGTTCCACTGCACTCTCTACAATTTATTCAGATTTATATTCCAGTATAGTCAACAACTTCACGATCTTAACGGGTTAAGTAGGAGTACTTTTGACGGTTGACATCATGAGCCTTTTTGGAAAAGTCCGTTCACGCGCTTTTGAACTTTTCCTCTTAAACCAACAATTCCCATTTTATCACTGAAATAAATTTAAACATTAAATTTGATAATACACGGTACGTTTACAGCATCTTGTGATAATCACTCCTGAAGCTCAACAGGACGTATTTCTTTTCACGGCTCAGAATGATGAACCTTTACAGATGAAATTGCTTGCGAAGGTATTTTTTGCTCTCTTGTATCCTTGCTACGGAAATTTTATTGGAAATGAAATTTGTTTGGGATCACCAATGACGGTGAAGGAGGAAGATAAGGCGTTCCTTTATCTTTTTTAATTTGTATTTGGCGATAAAAGAAACTTGATTCATTGAATTTACCGATAGGGAGTGCTGTTAAGACATAGGTCAAAACCTCACTGTTTTATTTACTTCAATATTTACTAAAAATATTTTAAATTATAAGTGGTGGTAATAATTATACTTTTAATAAATATAGTAAAGAGGGAAAGATAGAACTGATTCTAGAAAATCACAATTTAATTCTAATTTATTTTTTTTTTTTTTATTTTTCAGGAGCGCAAATGTAATGAATCTGGATCACTGTTGATGGAGGCAGATCATACAGTGCGAGAGCAATTCAATGAATTAGTTCGTTGTGCTGCTTCTTCTGCTTGGATGAGTTTAGTGCACATTAGTTCATCAATAAACTGAAATGATGAAAAGGGGACAAGAACTAGAAGAGATTAATTTTCAAGGTTTTATTCTCGAGATAACTTGTTTTTCTACCCAATTTTTTAAAATAAAGCATGCATCAAAAGGCCAATGATCAAAGTTAGCACGTTGTTTTCTATTTGCAAAATTTTCTGAAAGTTATTGAAGGAACTGAAGGAAAGATGAGATACCAATAAAATTGCAGAGAATTGGGTAATTTTTATGAAGTTTATAGAAGGTGAACGCTTATTATACATTGTTATTGTAGTTATTATTGTATGCGAAAAGTGCAATGTGCAGAAAGAATAATATTTTGTTCAGATTTTACTGAATTCTATAAACAGTTTTGCCTTGTAATCTAAGTACATTTTTGGTTTCACATTAACATGTTAGTTTAGTAAATTTATTATAAGATGGATATTCCATTATCAAAGTAGTGATAAATTAATTTTGCATATTGTATTTGGAATGTTGCTACGTTGTTTGCTCAGTGTTTATTTCCTCTGTTTTCAAACGGGTTCGACATTTTGCAAAATTGCTTTATTATTCATTTAAATTTTCGAAAATATATGTCAGTTTTGTCATTTCATTGTGCTCAGTTCCACTATTAGAGACCTACGATTTTAATTATAACTTCATCGAAATACCGGCAATTATTTGTGAAATCAACAAAATCTTTTGATCTCGTTTTTTTGGTTTCATGCAAAAAATATTTCGTGAACAAACCACAATTATCTGATGGAGTAGAAGGTTGGTTAAATCTGACAAATGCTTTGTACTTTTCATCCAGGTGTTCGAAATATTAGGTTGTATCTTTTGCCTAAATTAAAAAATAGTCAAAGGATATTGTGGTAGTATAATTCCTATTATCTGCTCATTTTACATACCATCAAATTTGTTTAAAAAAAAAAAAAAAAACTTGCGCTCAAATATCCAGCAATTCTTTTTTGTAGTTTTTTTTTTTCACTTTTTAAAAGACCAATAGTTACTTCTTATTGTTGTTTAATTGTATATAAGTGCATTGTCATTTTGAAGATGACTAGATTAAATTGAATTTTTAATGATTGCAATCCTTCTTTTTGAAATACACATTGTAGAACTACATTGTGGAATCTCACAGATCTTTCAAAAAAGGTTCAACATCTCAGTTCAATAATTTCATAATTTTACCTAATGATGAAATTTCTCGTACTGAATTGGTGCAGAAGTAGCGATAATTTTAATTAAAATTGAGGGGAAATGAACTACAGAATATTAATGTTTATTAACATTCTGTGCATTTCTTTTTCGATTTAATTTTCGAAAAAATTTAATTTCTGAATGGTAGAGCCGAAAGATAGTTACAATCAAATAGCCTTATTTACAAGGGTTAAATTGTTGACGGAGAAATAATATGCCAATATTAAAAATGATCAAATATACAATATATGGATTTAAAAGAAGAGGGAAACGATAATTACGTTATAAAATCGTTTAAAAGTATCATTTACAGCTGTTATACTACAAAGAGTTATAATAAGAATCATTTTATGCGACAAATAGTCAAAAAGTCCATTTTCAAGAAATGACAGCAATCAATATTACATATAGAATGTTCAAAATTAGCAAAATTTGTATATATATAGAATTTTTGAATTATGAAAAATAACAAAATGCATTATGAGATATTTCAATTCCAAGAATTGATAAAAACCGGTCGAAAAATTTCTATTTCCGGAAAGTAGGAGAAACTTTGGTTCATAAGAAATGCTCGAAATTTTCAACATTTAAAAATAAATTTATATCGGATTTTGAATTTTACATTAAATGCTTTCATTTATTTATGTGACGAATTTTTTTACTGTATTAATTTGCTACCACATTAATAGATCCAATTAAATTAAATGTTTCTCCTGAAAGTTAGGGATTTTTCCAAAAAAAAAAAAAAATAACCACCAAATATTTTTTGATAAACTTCATCCCGATCGAATTTCCTCCAGAAGTTTGATATCCTCAAATATCTGTATAATAAAAAATTGTTAAAAAATCAGAATTATCCGATCATTTAGCTTACTAAATTCATTATCCATTAATATTATAATATCATGCTGAAGATTATCATCCTGGAATAGACTGATAATGATACACTAAATTGATGTAAACATTTTAATTAGACTATTAACTACTGATAAAAATGCATCAACTTTGTTTTACTTAACTGATGCAATTAATTAATAATAATTAGTAATGGTAATAATTGATGACAAATGTAATAATAATGGTTATATTGGCAGTAATGGTTAACAATATTAATAATAATAACAATAATTGACAATAGTAATAGTGATAATAATATTGGTTGCATTTATTCATTAATAATGATAACATTTTGATAATTAAAAGAGAAATGTTTGGTATATTTTTTTGTTTCCATACAATGAGAGTAACTTAATGTTATGTCTTTTTATATATGAAAGAATTCATGACATGTCATCGTTGACAACTTTTTTTTTCTCATTTTCATAATTAGTACCATGTCATCTATTAATTCTCATCGCTTTTTCAACCTTTCCACCTATCCATTTACTAATGTAAATTGAAATTCACAAAGATATCTAATTAAGTTATCTTTAATTGGAAATATTTTTATCTATTCTTTTGCATGATCCCATCATGAAATGATTATTACAGTATGATAGAGTTAAGTATTTGTTATAATTAAAAACTTGTTTGGAACATTTTAAATTTGAAACCAATTTGTTCGGAATATTTCAAATTTTTAAACTTATAAACTAGTATAGAATTAGGTTATAATAGTGGCCGAATTGAAATTGTAATTAAATTTATGCAAAATTCTCATTTCCCTCTCTTTTTTCCATTATTCAGCAGCAATACTATTTTGTAAATATGATGATATATATGGCATAAATGGAAAAATGAATATGGGCCAATTTGTTGGAATAAAATTATGTGTCACAGTGAATTTTGTCAAATTTAAAACATTTAAATTTGTTTAATTGTCACATTTATAAGATTATACATATAAATTGACAAAATAACTATTGCTCATTAAAAAGATTGAAATTGGAAATGTATTTTTTGCAAGATTGGAATTGATATTAAAAATTATTGCCTTTAAATAAAGAATTAAATCCTCAAAAATAACAAATAATACCAGGTAATTTATCACGTTAGATTAAATTGCATATTTATCTTATCATGGAGAAGAACTTTATCGTAACTTTAATCTTTTTCTCAAGATTGTATCATTAAATCATTGAATCATTTACTAAATTATTTGATCATTGGATCATTAAATCGTTAAATCATTGGATCATTGGACGACCATTTTGGATCATTGAATTATTAGATTACTGGATCATTAGAGTACTGAATCATTGGGTCACTGAAATATTAGATTATTGGATCATTAGAGTATTGAATCATTGGGTCATTTAAGTCATTAAATCATTGGATCATTGGACGACCATTTTGGATCATTGAATCGTTAGATTATTGGATC